CTCAGTGCTCTCATTGCAAAAGAATGGGACATACTAAGGAAAATTGCTTTGCTCTGCACGGCTTTCCTGATAAGGCAGCTAATTCCTCAAAATCTGAAGTTGATGAGCCCAAGTTCTCTCATGAAGAGTATCAAGAATATTTAAGGATGAAATCAACCAATTTGGCTCAAGCATCTACAACACCAAATTCGTCAACCGCTTGCATTTCGCAATATGTGGAAAGTCAAAATCCATGGATTATTGACTCAGGTGCTTCTGACCACATGTCTGGTAATACCTCTTTATTTTCCTCTCTTTCATTTCCTAAAACATCCCATCTCATATCTTTAGCTAATGGATCTAAAGTAGTCTCTAAAGGAATTGGTCAAGTATCCATCTCTTCTTCTTTAAACCTTCAAAATGTTCTTTGTGTTCCTTCTTTTCCATTCAGTCTTGTTTCTGTAAGCCAATTAACCAAATCATTGAATTGCTCAGTAACCTTTAATGCCAATTGTTTTGTTATCCAGGAACGTGGTACGGGTCGACTGATTGGAGAAGGACGTGAATCTGGAGGCTTATACTACCTTAGGACTAAGTCATCTGTATCTTGTATTGCGTCCTTATCCCCAAAACTGTTACATGAGCGATTAGGGCATCCTCATTCAGCAAAATTGAAAAAAATGGTTCCTGAACTTCAGAACCTTCAAACTCTTGAATGTGAATCCTGTCAACTAGGGAAACATACCAGGTCATCCTTTCCAAATCATTCTGAATCTAGATGTGATTTTGCTTTTAGTATTGTTCATTCAGATATATGGGGACCTAGTCGTGTTTCATCTTTTGGTTTTAGATATTTTGTTACTTTTATTGATGGGTTTTCTAGATGTACTTGGGTTTTTCTTATGAAAGATCGTTCTAAACTATTGCCTATCTTTAAGTCTTTCCTTAATGAAATCAAAACTCAATTTGGAAAAGTAATCAAAGTTTTACGAAGTGATAATGCCAAAGAATACTTTTCTAATGATTTTTCTAATGTCCTAAATTCTCAAGACATTTTACATCAGTCCACGTGTCCTCACACACCACAGCAAAATGGTATAGCAGAACGAAAAAATAGACATTTGGTTGAAACTGCTCGTACCTTATTGTTGGGTGCCAATATGCCTATTCATCATTGGGGAGATGCTATTCTAACTGCATGCTTTCTCATTAATAAAATGCCATCTTTTTCTCTTGATAATAAAGTTCCACACTCTATTCTATTTCCAAAGGAACCAATTTTTCATGCTTCTCCTAGGGTATTTGGATGTATATGTTTTGTTCATGACATGTCTCCTGGCTTAGATAAACTCTTACCTAGAGCTATCAAATGTGTCTTCTTGGGGTATTCTCGTCTTCAAAAAGGATATCGGTGTTATTCTCCTGAAACCAAGAGGTACTACATGTTTGTTAATGTCACCTTTTTTGAATCATCATCCTTCTTCCCTTATTCTATGCAGGATATTGATTCTGTCCAAAATGTGTTTCCTGTTCCCTTAGTTGAATCAGTTGTACCTCCTATTCCTGACACCCCAAATCCCAACCAAAATACTCTAGAATCAGCATCACAGCCTATTATCACCTATCAACGCAGGAACCAGGTGAACAATCCCATTCCCCAAGATGAGCCATCCATAACAGGTCCTTCACCATCATCCTCTAATACCACGGCTCCTGATAACGATGACTCCAGTTGGCCCATTGTCATTCGCAAAGGTACTCGTTCTACTCGTAATCCTCATCCCATTTACAATTTTCTTAGTTATCATAGATTGTCTCCTTCCTATTGTTCTTTTATTTCCTCTGTCTCCTCTATTACAATTCCCAAAAATGTGGTCGAAGCACTTGATCATCCTGGATGGCGACAAGCCATGATTTCTAAAATGCAGGCTCTTGATCACAGCAAAACATGGGAGCTTGTTCCTCTCCCTTCGGGAAAGAAAACAGTTGGTTGTCGTTGGATCTATGCTATTAAAGTTGGGCCCAATGGTCAGGTTGATCGTCTTAAAGCAAGGTTAGTGGCTAAAGGGTATTCTCAAATATATGGACTTGATTATTGTGATACTTTTTCTCCAGTAGCCAAAATGACCATTGTCCGCATGTTTCTTGCCATGGCCGCCATTCGTCATTGGCCTCTTCATCAATTGGATATTAAAAATGCTTTTTTGCACGGTGACTTAGAAGAAGAAGTTTACATGGAGCAACCTCCTAGATTTGTTGCTCAGGGGGAGTCTGGTTTGGTTTGTAAATTACGTCGATCCCTCTATGGCCTAAAACAATCTCCACGTGCTTGGTTTGGAAAATTCAGCTCTATTGTTCAAGCTTTTGGATTAAAACGCAGTGAAGCAGATCATTCAGTGTTTTATTGTCACACTGCCCTTGGCAAACATGTTTATTTAATTGTGTACGTTGATGATATTGTCATCACAGGGAATGATGCTGCTAAAATATCTCAGCTAAAAGAGCACTTGTGTAGTCATTTTCAGACCAAGGATCTTGGAAATCTAAAATATTTCTTGGGTATTGAAGTAGCTCAATCAAGAGAAGGTATTGTCATCTCTCAAAGGAAGTATGCTCTAGATATTCTAAAAGAGACAGGTATGATTGATTGCAAACCTGTGGACGAGTCCTATGGATCCAAATTTGAAGTTAATGGCAGGACAGGGTGAAGTTTTCTCTGACCCAGAAAGATATAAAAGACTGGTTGGGAAACTTATTTATTTGACGATTACTAGACCTGATTTGTCTTTTGCAGTTGGTGTTGTCACCCAATTTATGCAAGCTCCTTGTGTGGATCATTGGAATGCTATCATTCGAATCTTAAGATACATTAAAAAAGCTCCAGGACAAGGATTATTATATGAAGATAAGGGAAATACCCAAATTTTTGGGTACTGTGATGCTAACTGGGCTAGATCTCCTATGGATAGGCGTTCCACTACAGGCTATTGTGTTTTCATTGGAGGAAATATCATTTCATGGAAAAGCAAAAAGCAAAACGTTGTTGCCCGATCCTCTGCTGAAGCTGAATATAGAGCAATGGCGTCTCTTACTTGTGAACTTGTTTGGGTAAAACAATTCTTGCAAGAATTGAACTTCTGTGAGATTCAATCTATGAAGATGTATTGTGATAATCAAGCTGCTCTTCACATTGCTTCCAACCCAGTATTTCATGAGAGGACTAAGCATATTGAGATTGACTGTCATTTTATTCGGGAGAAGTTGTTGACTAAAGAAATTTGTACTGAGTTTGTTGGTTCCAATGAGCAGCTTGCAGATGCATTAACAAAATCTTTGAGAGGACCTCGAATGGAATCCATTTGTTCCAAGCTTGGTACATTCAATTTGTATGCTCCAGCTTGAGGGGGAGTGTTGAAGTATTTATTAGATTAAGTGTATCTTGTTGGACATTTATGAGATTAGTTGTAGACCTAGTTCCTAGAATGCATCTGTTTATCTTCTCTAGGATTAATCATGTCTCTCTATTAATTGTATCTCTGAATCTGTATTTTTATCTCCTATAAATAAGAGAACACAAGCTGATGATTTCAGGCTCTCAAAATCAGTTCTTTATTTTCTTTTTTTCTATTTCAAGTCTACTCTACAACGGAGTTAACTTGAAAAGGGGTAGTGACTAGTGAGCTTGTAAACTCAGCAATTTTACAAGTTAAATTGTGAGTTTGATAACCATGATTGACACAACTTATCCCTTTCAAAAAAGCTAACATACTGACTAGCATCTTTGTTCTACAAAAGTAACAAACAAAATTTGTGCACTCCAGCAGTGAGCTCAGTTATATGACATTTGCTTTATCAGAGCAAATATATAGTTATTATTGCTATTATATCCAATCAGATTTCAAAACTTATGTTATAAGCACCTAAGCATTTCCTTAAAAGGTAGTTTTCAAGCGGGGATAACAAAGCCACTTTAGTTCTCGACTAAGCATTTATAAATTTAATCCATTATGAGCCATAAATAACAAATACATCACATTTTCTATGGTTCAAAATTCACAACTTCTATCCAACATGCCTGTCAATTCTTTATCAATTGTCTGCTACCAAAATGCATTCTAAATGGATGAATCATCAACATCCCAATTAGCCAATGACCCTAGGCCTGTGTTAGGGACTGTGTATACAAGAGAAGCTAGACTGCTTGAGGTGTTTGGCTGAAAGAAGGGAGAAGCACATAAGGATGTCAAGAAGTGCCAGTTTATAAGACACATAGAAGGAAAGTAAGGTCAGAAGGTATATAGGGGACAAATCTGTTATGGGAAGGGTATCTATGAATTCCCAATTCCGTTAGTGAATTGAAGTTGGGATGAATTCTCAACTCTAAGGAATGTGTATATAAGAGCAGCTAGACAGCTAGAGGTGTTAGGCTGAAAGAATGAAGAGAAGTGCCAGTCAATAAGCCACATAGAAGAGAGAATTAAGGTGAGAAGGTCTACAGGAGACAAATCTGTTATGGGAAGGGTAACTATGAATTCTCATCTCTAGATGATCATCCATTATTTGTTTTCAATTACCACACTTGAATCATGTAACACATTCAAATTTAATCATTGCTACCATGAGTGGGAAGTGAGGGATTGTGTCATAGTCCCCCACATTGCATGTCCAAGTACTGCCTCACCTGCCTAAGCAACCTATGGTGTTTGGCTACTAGCCTCCACATTAAATAACTTGGAAGCATAGATGTTCTGATTTTAATACTTGTACTACAAAGAGAACGTGATTTAGACAATAAGGAAAAAATGAGAATTATGAGCTATGTGATTACCGCTAATGTGTCTTGGAACATAGAAGAAAACATAGAATGGCAATTAATTTCTCACTCTTCAGTCCTCACCTCTCATGTCAGAAACTTTTCTGGGGGTTTTACATATGTCTAGCATTTATTACTAGGACGCATGAACATTAGACCACCAACCAGCCAAACTTATAGCAACTAACTAAGTCCACGTGAGTTTGACATGAACTTGACATTGTGTTGGGAAGTGCAAATTTTGCATCCATTTGGGAAAATACATGAAAGCTATTCCTCAGAGCATCAACCTGGATTAGGAGATTCAGATTGCAGATCCGAAACCATACACACTAAAAGGTATCAAAAGACAAGCTCTGAATTAAACACGGTACTAGGGATATGTAATTAGTCCAAATACTTTTCTTTAAACAATCATAAAAAATCCGCATCATATTGGCAGAGAGATCCAAATTACAAGAGTATAATAAGAGTATATCATCTTACTACTCTCACCTCTCACACTCCTCTCTGATTACATCAATGTTTCCTTTATTTTGAAAAATTATATTAACCTACTCTAAAAATGATTTGCGAAATTTGAAAAAATATATTTAAAAATATCAGAGGGGGAAAGCAGGATGGCGAGTTTGTGTAAAAGAGTACAATATAGGCAAGGTGAGAGTAATTTACATACCGAGGGTAAGCTTGATTGGATAGTAATAGGGTTTAAGGGAAAAGAGTTTTACTAATTGATGTGGGTTTGTTAGCCAAGGAAAAAATGTGAGTAGACAATCACAGATATTAAACTATATTTTTGGTGTAATAATTACCATAGTCGGGAGTAGTGTGAAAGAGGAGAAAACAGGGGAGTGTTAGGAGTTCTCTCTTGGGACAGGTCACAGATAAAACTCTGCAGAATCCAATGTTAAAGATAACACGATTTTGACGACCCAGGCTAGCATCATAACCACAGCAAAATTGAGCTAACCCCAGACTAAGCATGAGCGGTAAACTGCAGAATGTATTACACAAAAAGAATGACACACTCCAACAAGAAACATGAATAATAACTATGAGAAATCCACACACACAGTTGCTAATTTACTACTAATCATCACCCGTCTGGAACACGGAAACAATTCAAATTTCAATCATATGCTGAAGTAAGCTAAATCCGAATCTAATCGCAACCAAATTCCAACAAAAGCCTAATATAGGTTATCTTTGCCTAAAGGAAAGATAATTGAACAGACCTGGAAAAAATAAAAAACCCTAGCGATTCTTCTCAGCAGGCAATGGGCGATTGAAACCGCCGCGACGGTTCATGTACTGGCGCGGCTGTCGCTTGGTGACGGCTCTGACGCCGCTGACGTCAGCACCGGGAACTGGTTTCCCCTTGGTGGAATCAAATCCGACGGGAATCCCTAGCATCTTCATCATCTCCAACTCGTCCTCGTTCCCCTCAGCTTCTCCTCCGTTATCCTTCTGCTTCTGCTGCTGCTCCTTAGCGATACCGTCCACGAAGTCCGACACCGCTTTCTTCGTCTCCTTGTGCTCCTCCTCCGCTGATTCTCTACGGTGGCGCTTCCGAGACTGTTCGGGGGATGGCGTCCGATGGTGGCGCCGCCGGTGGGAGCGCTCGCTGGGTGAAGACGAGCGCGCGTGGCGGGAGCGCCCTCGGTCAGGCGAACGCGAACGAGATCTCTTGCTACGCCCTCTGTCACGGTCTCGTTCACGGTCGTCCTTCTCTCGGTCACGATCACGGTCACGGTCGTCCTTCTCTCGTTCACGGTCGCGGTCGCGGTCACGGTCACGGTCGTCCTTGTCCCGTCTTCGTTTTCTTTCTCTGTCGCGAGTTCGATCCCGCTCACGCTCACGCTCACGATCGGTCATGTTGCAGGGATGGGGTTGAGGTTCATGGTTGGCTCTGGCAAAACCCTATAACAAACAACCCCGTGCTACCTCTCCAGCTAACAAGGGATGCTCTTGCTAATTGTTGTAAACGGATTACTACTTGTCTATGAGATTACGAATTATTTTTAATTAAAAAAAAGGTTTTTTATTAATAAATATAATAGAATGTAATAATAAAACACTGTATTTTTTCTAAAATTTTAATTCTTTAATTAATATATTTTGAATCTTTGATTACTAGCTAAAAACTATAACTAAATGTTTTGTTTTTACAGTCGATAAGATAATTATTAGTTTTTTTAATATAAAATAAAATTTAGTTACAAAATTAAAAAAAATGCAAATGTTAATTACAAATCAAAATTTATCCAAACAATTAACGGTCATTATTCTTATTTTAAAAACAACTGATTATTATTAGGTTAAAACGTCAATGGTCATTGGTCAAAACATTGAAAATTAGTACACTACCCTTCCTTAAGTTTGGTAAAAAGAGTATTCGAAATTATATTACCAATTTTTATTTTTATTTTCAAATTCCTTTCGATTTCACTTTTTTTCTTCAATTTTGTTGTAAAGATGCTTTAGCAGTGGGTTCGGCCCGCTGAAACATGGCCAGAAGCAACATGCTTTTGACGTAAACAGCAACAATTGTGTTTCTTTTAGAAAAAAAAAATTGCTATCCATTTAACAATTCATATAATATTTTTTGAGGATTTCTCTTAACAAAGTAAAATATAAAAAGAAAACTCATTAATTAGTCTTCTTACATTAGATTTATGTTTTTGGATTGTGGGTTTTAACCATCAATCTAATTAAGTGGATCAATAACTATTTCTGTGGATGTTTTGACATAAATAATTAAAATTACGTAAATAATTTATGTTACAAAATAATTAATTATTTTAAGATAAAATAGGTTTTTTCAAATCGTAAGTTTAATAATTTTCAATTTTGGTGTATAAATTTTTTTATAATTTTTTGTTTGAGTAAATTAGTTGAAATTTGATCAGTCATAATACTTTATGTTTTGATTTGTTGATGATTTTAATACAGTTCTTTTATTGTCGGTATTAAGTGATGATGTGGTGTTTAATTTAATAATGTTTTATATTTAAATATATTTTTAGTTTATATAAAACGAGTAAATCTTTATTTTAATTTCTATATTATTTTTTATACTATTCATTTATTTTGTGATAGATCAATAATATTTATTTTATAGATCTTAATTTTTGTAAATGACAAATGTAATTATATCACAAATCTTAATGAACATAAAACTGTCAATTGTATTGACTTTTTATTCAACGAGCGGCATATAATACAATATAATACTATAAATCAAAACAATTATTTTCAATTTTTAAAAATTAAAACAAATTTTGAACTAAAAGTCTTTAGTTTTTCATAGAGACTGGAAACATATTCAAATCAATATTTTTGTCAGGTTTAGTAACACATAATTTTAAGAAAAATTTTATATTATAGAGACTACTCGACAAAAGTCTTTATTAACATAAAAATAGTTTATTGTCATTAATTGAAAATTAAAATAATTTATACTAAAATGTTTTCCATGAGTTATCTGAAACTTTTTTAGATGGGACTGCAATGAACAATATCTGAATCGTAACTTCTTCAACGTGATTTTTTTTATTCCAATTATTCATCTTTAATCACGTTCTCTCAACTCTTTAAAACTCAAGATTTGTCAAGTTTAAAGACAAAAGACCAAATATAATACCTAGTATATTGTATTACTCTTTGATAAATTGCAAGAACGAGATCCCTTATTTATATACTTCAAATAAACTATTATGAGTATACAATTATCATAAATATTTTCTCCACCAATTGTCTTTAATCCATAATGTCAAATTTTAATAAATTAAATTATGGTGATAAAAAACATAACTAAATACAACCTTTCAATTTTATAAGTCATAATTGCTTAAATATATTATTAACTCGTAATTATTTGTTAGTCCTTACAAAATATAATTTTTTTTAATCCTTGTATAAAAAAATCTTTGTCTGTTCATCGTTTAAATTTTTTAAATCACCAATATACTGCATGAAATTGTTAATAACTTTTTCGTTCAACACAAAGAACAATAATTCTTAATTTTAAAGAGATTATAAATAATTTTTCTTTTTACAAAAACTTAAATTAAAATGCGTTCATTTCACATAAACTTAAAGACATATTTAAGTTTTATTTGTTTTTGTGTTGCGTCTAACACTTAAAAGAAAAGAAAAAGGATTAAGAGGTAATTCGTTATATAATACAAATTATAATGTTTGCAATCACATTGCCTCTTTATTAACAAAAATAATGATAAAAGTGATAAAATAATAACAATAATGACAAAAAATAAGAAAAAGAAAATAACCATCAAGTAAATAATAAATTTTGTTTTATTTTTATATCGATGGATAGAAAGTTAACATATATAATTTATTGAAGAGTAGAAGATCCTGTTTTATCCGTCTTCGTTACGCGTGTTAGCCCATAGTTTTAAAAAAATAATCATAGAACAACTAACTGTGTTACCTAGTATCATATTTTCAGATAATTAAACATGCCACTGGAGAAAAATAAAATTTACAAATAATTGGAGAATAAGCTGTCAATAAAGAAAGTTAGTATATGATATGATGTTTTTACATAGGTTACTTGCAAATAATTGTATCATTATTTATGAAAGATTATTTTTATTTATTACATTTTTATTAGTAATATTATTATTATATTATAAAACCTATCCACTTATGATCATTTAAAGATGGGATTCACAGTAACCAGAATGAGTTATAATTTTTAGTTCGTTTTATCAAATAATAGGCTAACCAACTTTATATATATATATATATATATATATATATATATATATAATATTTTTATTTTTATTAAGATACAAAATTTAAATATTTATTTATTAATATTTTTATTAGATAAATTAAAAATTTATGGGTTAAGAACTTAATTATAATTAAAAATTAATTTATTAATATTTATAATTAAAATTATAATATTATAAAATATTTTTAAATTATAATTTTTTATTTTAATTTTTTATTTTTATTTTATTTTTATTTATAAATATTTTTTTTAATTAGTTCATCCTATTTTATATATGATAGGTCAAGTTGACGGATTAAATAAGACAGATCAAAACTGATGATCGGAACTCTCGTTTTTATCCCATTTGATAATTTTTTATTTTATTTTAAGATATTAATTTTACTAAATTTAAATCAAAATAATAAAATTTAGAATATATATTATAAAATGAATTTCTTGGACTTTGATGATTTTTTTTATAAATCATTAAAATATTTGTAAATTTTGTGTGTTTTAAAATTCTATTTTATTGTATATTTCTCTCATTTAAATTTTATATAGTGAATATGTTATTTTCAAATGAATACAAATTTAATATTATTTTATTAAAAACATAAAAAAATATTATATATTTCAAAACTAAAGTATCATTTTTTTAAAATATAAGCCTCTATGTTAAAACTAGATGAAATATAAGTTTTATTTATTAAAATATTGAAAAATGTGTCTGAAAAATATCAAATGTAAATATCAAATGTTACGTGCAATTTATCTTTTAGTTTTCATATTTAGTAATATGTGGTTTGTATACAATCATATGTTTTAGTTTTTGTAGTTAACTATGAAATAATTATATTAGTTAAAAAGGTTTTTAAGAACTATTACAAAAATCAAATTGGTGGTAAAAAATTAAACGAGTGTTTTTCCACTATGAAACTATTAGAAAATAAAAAAGTTTACGTTTTTGTGACCATTTAATGCATTTTGTGATAATATTAATTTTATGATGATACTTAAAACTAGTGCAATTACTTACTTTTTTATAGGTCATACAATTCCTTGAAATCTAACCACACGAATTAAAACATAGAGATTTTACTTGAATAAAACTAGAACATAAAACTTTTAAATATAAAATGAAAAATTAATACCTAGGTGAAATAAATAATTAAACCTTTTGATTGTTTATATCAGTGTGAAATTGCTTGCATACCTACATCACACATGATTTCACCATTGGAACCTAAAATAAAAATTAAATACCATGACGTGAACTAAAATGACGATGACGTTATAGTCATGCAAATTATTGGGGGTTTAATTTTATGTAGAGTCAAGTCATATCTAAACTGAAATTACTTATAAATATATTCGAAACTTCAAATATAAAATAAAATACATATCTAATTAATTTGAATTCAAAAATTATTAACAAATTGATTAATAGAAGTGGTTGCAACTTCATTTTCTTTTAACACGATTTTAGGTCATTCAAAATACATATTATTATTATTATACGAGAATATGACCAAATTGGTTTTGAATTAAATTTTCAATTATTTATAGAATATTGTTGTTAACACTGATGGCTAAAAAATGTAAGTAAATCAACCCAACGAATAAAAAAATAGCCTTCGAGAAACCACCTACAAATAAATTAGTTTTGACCTTTTCATCTTCATTATTTTTTTTTTCTGACAACGTAAAAGATACAGCTGCAAATTAAAAATGAAGTAACGTAGAATATAGATAACTCAGCACACCACAGAGACTCCTTTGAAATTATCTTCTTAATACTGTGATTATAATTTTTCTAGTTAATCAAATCTTTAAGTCCTATAATTATATAGTATTCGTACTTATGAGATTCTCAAATCAAATATAAAATTACCACAACACTAATTAATTTGAATCTATTAAAAAAATATCTTATATGTAACTCAAATATGAAAAAACTGGATTTGGATCCTTCCATTATTTCCTCCCGAGTTTTCGTCTCTTTCACAAATGTATAGAACACGCAAAACACTAAAAAGAATACAAAAAATTATGACTTTGAAAGGAAAGATAAAATAAATAAGATTATAGAGCAAAATTTGATTTTTTTTTTTAGATTTAGATTTTATTAATATGGAAACTAAACTATGGTGAATAGTTTTTAATCTGTATAAGTTATAATTCCAAATACAAAAGTTATTCAAAATATGCAGTAAACAATTATTTTTTTTAAAATAATAACTCCACTGTGTTGAATTTGATATATAATTTTGAAAATTGATTTAAATTGAGTTATAAGTATAGATAATATTATTATCAAATATACCATATTAATTATATTTATATAAACAAATATTTATAAAATTATCCTCCCAAATAATTTTATTCATAATTTAAATCTATAAGTTATATTTTTATACCATATATTTGACTATTCACGACTCTCGCTTTCTTTACTATTTAAATCAATTTTATTCTACGTTGCTATATGTTATAAATTGAATTCAAATTATAATAATATTGCAGGTTAAATTAAAAAATATATATTTAAATTTAAAATTAATACATTATTTAAAGTTCTGGGAAGTTATATTTTCTTCAAAATATGATTTTTATTATTTGAAAATGTACATTAGACATAATAATTAATATTTTAATACAATTGAAATTTATTATAAATACATATTCTTTTACTGAAATGATATTAATCAAGTTAATAAAAAATAAATATATTTAACCGAGTTAATTATATTTAAACTTTTTATAATTAATTTTGAATACGATAAAAAATTAGTTGTAGATTGAGTTGAGATGAATCAAGATATAATTTATAAACTAGATAGGCAAATGGATAAAGTGAGTTGATAGTCTAACACTTATACCATATAAAAATATAAAAGATAAAACGATGATATAATTAATGATAAATTTGAGGAACAATTATAATGAGAACGAGTGATAAACATTTCTAACATATATAAATATAAAGATAAAGATAAAATGATGAAAAACACTTTTATCATTTACAAAGATAAAGATAGAATGACGATAAACACTTCTACCATATATACAAAGAAAAATAAAATAATGATATATTCAATGATAAATTAGATGATTAATTATAAAAATAGCGTGTGAAATACAAGTATTAATAAGAGAATAAATAAAATACTCATAAAAAGCTAAAATTAAATATATAAAATACTTTGATTTAATTCTTAAAATATATTTAAAATTCAAATTAGAGAATTTGAAAGTTTTAGATTTTTTTTTCAATTTTAAATTTTATTTATTCATTTTAATTTATATCAATTCATATTCTTAAATATTTGTATTATTGAGTCTAGGGTTTTAGGCAGCTTTAATTTCATTTTTGAAATTAACATTTGATAGCTTAATGTCGACTTTCATTCAGCTGTCTTGAGTTTTTTTAGTCAGAACTGTTTAAATAATTCAACTGTTTATACTCTTTTTTTCTTTTCAAATTCGACGAAAAAAATGCCAATATATATAGTAAATAAATTAAACAATATCATAAAAATATATAAACAAATTTATACATTTAATATTACTTATCTTAGTTATAACTTAATTCCTTTGTGAAATGATTTTATTTTATAAAAATGTTTTTATATTTTAGTGACTAAAATAAGATATTACTATTGATATAAAAAAATAAAATAAGTTAATCAAAAGTAATGTAATGCAATTCTTTTTGGTTACAGTGAAGGGTAGTTTGTCTTTATAGTAAAGCGAGAAGAATGGGTGGTTTTGTAAAGCCCATTTTCAAAGATGAGTTAGGCTGAAAACTTAACGGTTTGGTGTCGGTTCGAGCCTTCAACTCTTCAATCCAATAATTCAGTTGAGCAATGACAATTATATTGTGTCACGAATTTAGATACTCTTCGGCCTGTCACTTTGACCAACAAAGCAAAAGTGGAAAATAAAAACAAAACTGGTTGGCAGGGATGGATGAGATCAGATACAATACAAACAAACACGGAAAAAAGACTTGTAAAATAATACTCTAAAAGTTTCATATTTTTTTAGAATCATCATTTTCATATAGTTTAACTCTGTGTTGGATTTCAGGTTGAATAATTCAGCATCATGCAAACAAACAATTGCAAGACTCTTTGTTTGAAAAGAGTGTACACAGTTAACAGGGCATGCAGAATTGTACATCCAATTGATTAAATGGTGGCCACAAGCATTTCTTGCACGCGTAAGTCAGTTTCTGATATTTGTTGGTTACATTGATGAACACAAGAAACCCGAATCTTGGGTACAACACTAAAGTGTAAAGCTGGTAAACCATATTTATTCATCCAACGCAATGCAATTATTTTATTCAAATTTCATTACTTTATCTCACTCCTTGTCTTTAGCCAATCATATTTTTGACCACGCACCAAAGGCTATCGTATAAATGGAAACAAACAAATGAAAGACAAAATTCACATTTTTACATCCCAATTGCATAATATAATGTGCATTGATTTCCTCCTACTTTGTTCTTATTGTTCAAAATTAAAGTATCTTCTTTAAAGAGTGTGGTCGATTTGTTATTTTCCAACTTTCGGGTCTCTCAATTTTTTGTTTCTTTGGGATTAAATAAACCAATGCACAAGGCACATAGCGAGGGAAGCTCGTGAATAGAAAAGAGCATATCATACAGCACCATGCCTTGTATTTTCTGTTACAATTTCATTGGAGATTGTTCATGTGCTTCTAGCTGAGGAACTTTAATGGCTAAAGGTGACCCACACGCTCATGTTTACACATAAGTAGTTGGCCAGAAAAGGACTTTGTCTCTTCCAACTTCCAACATTATGGTAAAAGGAAACCCTAATATCACCATTTATTCACCGGAGTGGTCCTGTCATGCACATATATATTTACACTATACTAAGAAAAACCAAATTTATTTCGGATAGTAGATATGTTAAAGCTCGTGACTGTATTCATTTCAAATTGAATATGTAGTTTAAGATGCCAATTTCTCACTCTTTGTGCTTGCTTGTTCAAATAAAAATGCATCAAAAAGCGAGGGAGGAGAGAAAAAAAAAAGGTTTATGAAGTACTGAAATCGTGATGAGAGAAAATGGAGAATAACGTGTTTTTCTTCTTCTTTTCGCATCGCTTAAAAAAACGATCAACTTCGCTATTACAATTTATGTCGACGATCAACTTCAACTTTAAGGAAACGATGTACACAACGTAACCTTTCATAATCTGCGATCATTTTTCGAAAAGGAGGGAGGGAAATAACATTATAAGCACATCAATCAATAATTGTTGACGCAAGATTGACCAAAGTTACACGACATGCAACTAGCATGGATTTATATCAATGTTCGTGACCAATATTGATATTTGTCGTGGAAACTTTAGGCCTTTAGATGTTAATAATGTCGTCTTCTTCAAGTGCCTTCACTTGTCTCTATAGCCTCCACATAACTACGTACCGACAAATCTTTAGATCTCCCGGGCATAATTATTGATGAAAAAAAAAGTTGTGTTAATATATATATCATGTGTCAAAACCACTAAACCATCATCAATCACCCACATAAAAAAATAAAAAAATCAAATGCATCCATTTTACTTATAATAATATGAAATTAAAATCACGGGAAGTTCAAATAATTTGGTAGTGTTATTACCTCTCTTGTATGCATAAGAAATCATCATAGAGAGAGGTATATATAGATTAGCTGAAATAAACTTTGGTTTGATTGTTTTTTATTATGCTAGACCTTTCTCTCATAGTTAATGAATGATAAACAAATGACACATGTCCTGTTACTTGAAACGAGCACATGCATTGGCTAGAACGTACTTTATGCAGTGCTTTTATTAGCGAATGATGACTGTGTAGAATATTTTAGTTTGGTGGTTGTAATTACCCGTATACTATATGATTTAATAGTTGGATTGAAAACGTTCTATTTCCTGTAAGAACAATGATTATGATAGCGAGATTAACTTGATTATTCTTTAACACAACAGTGTTAAGAAAAAATGGAGTTGTGATTTAAACTGCTTCACACATAAAGGGGTTAGGTGTTTATTCCTCCACTGTTTAAATACACACAATACACTCAATGAACTCGATCTTCTTCTTTATGAATATGGTTTAATATATACAGAGAAGGGTACGGGTTCTTCATTTAAAAGAAACAGAAGGTACAGCTTCTTCAAGTAGCATTAGTTTGGTTTTTGGATATTAATAATTTGTCACATGCTCTTAAGTCCCACCTAATTATGGACCTGGCACATGGAACCGTTACATTATCAACTTCATTTTTCCAGCTTCGAAAAGAGCTAAAAACATCCAAATCCAAACAATCATGATCTAAAAGCTCCTTTTCAAATTATAACAAAAAAAATAAAATGAATCTAACGTTTTTGATGATAGTTTATTTTAACTGTTTGGACTAATCTGAGTCTATGTTCTAACATAAAGAATGTAGATATGGAGCGTTGATACAATAAATATATGGCTTTTAACATAAACTTGGTCTGAAAATAATTTGACAATAATAAAAGCTACTTTTTCATCCCAACTCGTTTTCCATCATAAATGCAAAGTAGTTTACCTGAACTATTACCTTAGTTGGATTTGCCTATCCACTGTAGCACCGATGGAAGCATACTCATGAACTCACATGGGGTGATGGTTCCCTCCAATTTTCCTTTTTCAACTATAAACATCAATTTATTTCAACTGCACATTATTTATAAGAAAATAAATAATTTTTAACTTGAATTTGAGAAATTATTTAAGAAATTCAATTCTATTCTGTTTGGAAACTTAGATATTAGTAAAAAATTTCATTACATCACCAAATGAAGAAGTCATGGAACACGCATGTCTAACTTCTAGATGGGGTTAAGAATGAGAAAGATATCGGAAAACTTAGGTCACTATTACAATTGTGAGAAGCATGGGTCACTACTAGTGGCAATTAATTAGGTGAATTAACAATATTGAAAGCAAATTAAATAGAGAGATAATAGGGTGACCCTATCCTATACGCACCAAAATTGCAACCCGAGTTTAATCGATCCATCTTTTTGTTTCTTCATAACTTTCTCACCACAGGTCAAGTTTTCTTGCCATTTGTATCTTGAAAAGCTATCATAGCATAGGATGGATAGTATTCAAGACAAATCATTTTAGCTTTTCTAATGGTCCCTCCCGAATACATGGCACTTCTTCAAGCCAGAACATTCAACTAAGAAAACAAAACCTCGGGAGCGCGCTCGTGGTCGTGTCTTTATGTTTGTGAGACCCAAACGAGGCCTTACTTTACTTGTTCTCTGTTTTTAATTGCTCTGCTCTGCATGAAACAGAGTACCCTGTTGGATTGTTCATTGCAATGAGGTATATTCGGAGCAACAGCTTCAAGAGGCTCTTCTCATTTGGAAGACGTGGTTCAAGGGAACAAGTTGTGAGTCCTAATGGTGTAGAAAACCATGAGACTGTTCCGTATAAAGAAGAAGCTTCTGGAAGACCCTCTTGGAAGTGCTTCTCTTATGAAGACTTGTTTGATGCCACGAATGGCTTCAGCTCAGGTAATTTGGCTTGGTTTGAAAATTTAAGGATGTTCGTTTTTTCTTTCTATTAAACAATTTTTTTTTGCTTCTTGTGGCAGAAAATTTGGTGGGAAGAGGAGGGTATGCTGAGGTTTACAAGGGAATAATGAATGGTGGCAAGGAAATTGCTGTGAAGAGACTCACAAGAACTTCGAGGGATGAGAGAAAGGAGAAAGAGTTTTTGACAGAGATTGGTACGATTGGTCATGTGAACCATTCCAATGTGTTGCCTCTTCTGGGGTGCTGTATTGACAATGGCCTTTACCTTGTTTTTGAACTATCTTCCAGAGGTTCTGTTGCATCTCTTCTTCATGGTAATAATTAAACCAACTTCAGTAAAAAATAGTATGTATTCTGGGTTTACAGAAATAAAAATAGTGTGTGGATTTCTTTGTAGATGAAAAATTGCCCCCTTTAGATTGGAAAACGAGGCATAAGATAGCTATTGGAACTGCGCGAGGCCTACACTACTTGCATAAGGGTTGCAAGAGAAGGATAATCCACCGAGACATTAAGGCGTCAAACATTTTGTTGACAAAGGATTTTGAGCCACAGGTGCTTTTTCAATCTGTACTGAAGTCACTTTTCCAATTTTAGTTGGATCAATATTTCAAACTGTGTTTTTTTGTATGGGTTTATTTTTACCCAAAGTATTCATTATGCTGTATGATAATGGCAGATATCTGATTTTGGACTAGCAAAATGGCTTCCATCTCAATGGACTCATCATTCCATTGCCCCAATAGAAGGGACATTTGGGTACTCATCTTTTCATGGACCCTTCAATGATTACATGGATAGTATAATTTAAAAATATTTGAATGGTTTGAAAATGGATACTTTTACAATGTTTTGTAGACATTTGGCCCCAGAGTACTACTTGCATGGAATTGTGGATGAGAAGACAGATGTGTTTGCCTTTGGTGTGTTCTTGCTAGAAGTAATCTCTGGCAGAAAACCAGTGGATGGATCACACCAAAGCTTACACAGCTGGGTAAGTAACCTTGTGACTTTGATCCCTCCTTTTTCCTTTGTGACTTTGTTCTCTCATTGTGAACTTGGCGTGTTCCATTGGAAATGCCTTGCCTTTTGGTTTGTTCTAGTCTAATGGTGACTTTTAACATTGGTTAAGTCATTAATTAAGCTATTATTGGTGCTCTAGTTAACCATGTATTTTGAACAATTAGGCCAAACCAATTTTGAACAAGGGTGAGATTGAAGAGTTGGTAGATCCAAGGCTTGAAGGGGCTTATGATGTGACACAGTTAAAAAGATTTGCCTTTGCTGCATCTCTTAGCATTCGGGCTTCTTCAACTTGGCGACCTACCATGACTGAGGTTCCTTATCTTGCACTTGTTTCTTCTATTTGTATTCACTTGTTTCCTTCCATTCTTTTAAAACAATACATACATTAAGGACTTACTAATAAAAAAAGCTAATCAAAATTATGTTAAAAATTAAGCAGTGTTAATATTACCCTCTAAAATAAGCTGACATGGACTCTATTATTAATTAAATTTTAGTAGAAACTACCACATCACAAATAGAGTTTATGTAATAAAAAGCTAAGAGAATACATATTTTTTTTAGTTTATAATAAAGTTTAAATAATAATATTTAAAAGGGCCTTTTCTTATTAAAAAAAAAGGTTGTTTCTGTCATTTCCCTTAAAGGTTAGAGTGATTATGTATTACGAAATATTTTTATATAAAAAATGCTCAATGGACTTGTAAAGTATTTCGTTAACTATATTAGAGCTCTGTATACTATAATTTTAATGTACCATTTGTAAATGTGGCATTTTCAACTAAAATAATCTATTTTTTATAATACAATAAACATTTTTAAAATGCTTTTCATATTCAATTTTTTTGCAAATAGGAATCTTCATGTTCTTTCCATCAAATGAAACTAATCACGCACTTAATCCTCAGATCAATTAGGAACAATAAAATGACTGGTATAACCACCACTTAGTAATTTTTTTATCATTTGCTAAGCCAAGTTTTATTAGACGTGATATTTTCCTTAGTACTAGCAATGCTTTCAAGCAATTGAAGTACACCAAAAAAATACAATACAAGTACACACACAAAATAATGCTTTCCGGGTTCATTAATTATTATTATTATTATTATTATTATTATTATTATTATTATTTGAAAAGCAATTATTGTTGTTTAATTTTCTCAACCACACAATTTCCTTTTGCTCAGGGAAGATTTGTGGATTTGTGATATTATCTATTATTAGCATGTGTGGCGTGTACACCAATCCAATCATAGCCTTTTTTATTAGTCTGTTTCCAAATTACCAATAAACTATGCATATTAAGATCAGTTTTCTGGCTTCAAAAGTTCAAACAATCAATTAACTTAAACATAATAATACCATTTTTTTATCATCATTCTCCAATAGATTCATCACAATTTTCTGAATTCCAATGGTGACCCTTTTTTCCCAGGCAAATTGATTTATCCCTCGATGTTCTCATTTACCTAATTTTATCCTTTACGCTAACAAGATAGCTCATAGAATATATGCCAATTCATATGATATAAATGTGTAACACGAATAGAACAAGTTAAAAGACAACTTAAATGCGTAGTTCTATTAGGTGATTTGAACATTTATCCAACACACAGATGAAATACATTCAAATCATTGGAATTGTGGGCCTCTTGTTCTTATTGTGAATCACTCAAAAAGCAATAATTGATGACAGAATGCATATATACAATTGTCAGTGTTCAGAAAACTCTTAGCATAGATAATGTAACATGGTAATTTACACTAGAAGTTCTTTTAACAAGATTTATGTATGAATTGCAGGTATTAGAGATAATGGAAGAGGGAGAAACAGATACAGAGAAGTGGAAAATGCCAGAGGAAGAAGAAGAGGAAGAGGAGGAGTTCTGGGGTTTTGAGGATCTGGAATATGAATATGATAGCTCCTTTTCAATGTCATTACTTGACTCCATTGGAAGTACTACGTAGGAGTTACATGCCTCTTTCAATTGCTTGTATATACACAAATTTCATAGAGAGGAGTTCATGTGGCTATGTCACTCTTTCCTTTCTAATGAAATTTCTTGTAACATTTTTCTTTTTTTGTGGATGTGAAATATTTATTCAAGTTGAACCCCCATTATGTCGGCAACTCCAGAGGAAAATGACACACACCAAGGTTGTTCTCATGCACTAATCAATTTCAATCAGATTCTAGCTTTGTGAAACAAGGCAAGATAACTGGGTCCAAAATGTCCACTCATTGCAATTTTTCTACATGATGTGATTGGACTATCAATTATGTGAGGTTTAAGTGGTTTAGATAGAGACTTTGAAATAGATTGTGCATATAAAATGATGGCTTATATTTTTCATGCCAATGTGTCTTTACATGAAAAAAGAAGGTACCATATGACAAGGCCATTTGAAATCTACATACAAAGTTCAAAATCCATGCCTAATATTAATTATGAGGGAAATGAACATTAGGCCAAATATCCACTCACCTAGGGCAAATTGCATGATTGGAAAAGAGACACTTCTCTAATTAATAATTAAAATGAACCAAGTAATCTCTGTTTCCCAAAATTTCCTATTTAGCTATTCCATGTACATTTCTTGCTTTTCACAATTTCATCTCAATTTGATCATTACTAACTACATTATTTCTTTTGTATCTCTTTTATAATTTTGTTTGTTACTTAGTAGTGAAGAATATTGATAGAATAAACTCTAGTTTTAAACTCCAACTAGCTTTGTTTTTCATGATGAACAAATTTGTTTTTGAGAATCAGAGATTCACTGGCTGTCATGCAAGTTGCCATATGCAGAGCTGTCATGAACTTGTGGATGCATATGATATGATGTTATTAATTATTATAGAAACATGAATATCAATTGGGCATTCACATGAACTGATTTGCATGAATGTAATCAGAACCAAATCCATAGACAGCAGAATATGATATATGTTTGATGTTAGATGAGGTAAGGAATTTTCAAAGGAGAAAGAAAGGGTTTCTTTGTTTCTAATCGTTAACGTAAGGTTGAAGGAGGGTTTGGGGATTTAAAAGGGTCAAAACTAAAACTTTGATAAATTTTGAAAGTGTTTTTTAGATAAATAAAGACATTGTGTCTTAAATATTATTATTATTATTATTATTATTATTATTATTATTATTATTATTATTATTATAACATATGTGCATTGTTTTTGAAAAAATAATTTTAAATCTCCCGGTATCATTTTTTTAATTCTTGTATTTAATAAATATATAAATATGTGATATTAAAAAAGTTATGTTCGTGAGATATTAATTAAATGCATTTATTTCTTATTTAATATCTTCTCAATGGAAACTTAAGAAAGATTTAATAATAATATAATATAACATTACTCCCATATTCATGGGACAAAAAGAATACAAAAGAATGTCTTTAATAAGAATTTTTCGGTTTAATTGTTTTTACTTTTTATGAATAAATTTTTAGTTATAATTTTTAGTTTTTAGTTTTTTTTTTTATATTTATGTTCAGTATTTTGTTATACTCGTTACCTACTTATGAACTAAAAAAAAATCATAATTTTAAATTAGGTTTACTACTATCTATAATTTAATGTTAACATTTAATACCATGCAAAATTATTTAAAATATAAATTAAATGTTAGAACTAAAGAATGATGATTACAAATTTTGGAGACATGAAAATCACAGAAATATATTTTATAAAAAAAATTTATTCATTAAAAAAAATGAAAACAATGAAAAACAAAGATTTTTTTTATATAAAAATCAAAATCAAAACTCGTTCAATTTGAAACTAAAAACATATTTAAGTCAATATTTTTATCAAGAAAATTTGTTTTATCATAATGATGATAATAATAGTAATAATGATTTATCAAATTAATATTTTAAAAAGCATGCATTATCTTAAAAGAAAACTAATATGGGGCAAAAGGTTTATTTATCATCTAAAAAAGCTCTATGCTTGCATTTTGTTAACTTCAACATTTATTTATTTTTTTCCTGAAATTAAAACTTACATATTATATATGCCCATTAACGCTCAATAAAAAAACAATTGATAATTGTGAAATATTTATGTTTTTATGCTTAGATATTACACATATATCATGTAATTATAATGTAATTAATAAGCAACATCTAATTGTCATATTATTGAGTGTTGAAGAGTAAATTACTAAACTAAACTAATGCAAATATGTGTAAAATGCAGGTGAGAAACAAGAAGATTGTAATACTAGGTGTAAAACGTTCAAGGGAATCTTATTCGCTGAGCGAATATATGAGGCAACAAAAAATGGTCTCAATCTGTTGAGTGAATTTGCGTCAGACAACAAATCCTTCTCGATGGGTAAAATTGATCAATGAATAGGAATTCGTTGAATGAATTGAGAAGTGTTGAGCGGATGAATTAAATGATTACGAGATTCATTGGATATAAACAGTAGAAATGAAGAGAGTGAAAAGTAGAAGAGAAGAGAAATAGAGCGGACTTTCAGGTGCTAGAGTCGGATAATAGAAGCTGGATAGATTGGAGCTCTCCTTCTTGTATATTTAGAATTTTTGTAATCATGTGTTGCTAAGTTTCTTTATATTGGATTGAGTGTAACGGTTTAACTTTATTGTAATTATATATATATATATATATATATATATATATATATATATATATAAATTTATTTCTCTAACATTGATGTGGTTTTGTTTTAATGTTTGGATTAAGAGGAATCTAACTTCGTTGTATAGGAATAAATTTGCATTGGAAAATTATTTTTATTTTTGATCTGATTCAAATCAATGTGTAACCTTAACTTCTAGGAATAAAAGTTAAGATTACTAATACATGAAATTGTGCTTAATATAAGAATTTTAATTAATTCATTAAGGAATTAATTGGTTGCTTAGGATTCTTAAAACTTCATTGTTAAGGAATTAATATGGAATGAATGTTTATTACTTCAATTGAAAATGAAATTCATTAATATATAAATAATAAGTTGCATATTTATTACTAGGAAAATCCAATTTAACAGTTTACCTCATTGAATTTTTCGTATTAACCAAAATTTACCTTAATTATTTTAATTATATAACTATTGTCTAAAGTCATTTTTTTTATTTAATGAAAACTGGATTTAATTGATATCTGCAAAGTCTGAGAGAAAAAATTAACCCAAATATAACTGAATTATAAGTTATAAAAATTTTAATTAAATAGTCATACATGATTTATTTATAAACATATCAAAAAAAGTTACAAACATATTTATGAACTATTTTTTTTAAAACTCGTCAGAATTTCATAAAATAAAATATAATGCATACAAAAATTATGACTAAATAAGAAGCAGTTGATAATAAATGGTTGACTTTTGGGACAGAGATATAATTATTTAAAAGTTAACTTAACTCATCAAAACCTGGCATTTATGGCTTTGTGTTAGTTGAACGTTGCCTCCAAATCATCAAAATATATATCTTTGGAAGGTTGTTTAACTTAAAACAAGAGTAAGAAGAATTAATTATGCAACAACAAAAGGATAGATACTAAAAGCAATATATTATTGTATCATCTTGGTGGTAGGTTAGATAAAGAAGTAGGTCAAAGTTTATTGCTGAACTTCAAACTCAATATATGCAGCGGCGAATTTTACTTTGGAGTTGAAGGGGTTCATGACTTTTCTACAATTTTATAACTTTTATATATATATATATATATATATATATATATATATATATATATATATATATATATTTTTACTCCTTAAATTTAATGATTATTAAATATATTTTGTGATATATTTATAATTTTGATTTTTAATATTATCATCTTCTATTTTTTATATATTTATTTATTATATATTAATAATATATTATTTATCCTTAAAAATAAAGATCCCTTACCTAGATATTAAAAATGAAAATAGAAGAAACACAGAAGAACGATTTTCAAAAAGCGATTAGTGAAGAGATGTCGACAAATTAGCATTGTAAAGTCACGCAAAGCAATCACTTTTCTAACACTAAGAATGGTTGGCAGAGTTAAATTTATAGACTTGTGGTTCAAAGGATGTAAATTAGTTAAATAGAGCATATAGATAGATTCTGATATCATTGTTCAACTTCTATGAATGAAAAAAAGAAGAAGTGATGTTAGAGTTTGTAGATTAAAAAATTTAGATTATCCAAGAATAATGAGTGAAAATTTCTTAATCAAAATTTGGGTTTAAATTTGGAGATAAAGATGGATAAACCCATTCTAACTAGACATGAGTATTTCGATATATTTTGTGAGTTACCTATATAACTTGGAAAAAAATGGATATGTTTTAAATTTCTTAATTACTTACTATTTGTTTGTATTTTATTACAAGTCGATTGGACAAACATTTAAACATTGGAAAATTGAAAAAAAAAAAGACACTATATTATAGATGAGACCAAATATTAATAATTAAAAAATATATATTTTGTATTCAGTTATGTAATTTAAAAATTCAACTCAAATTAATTTTTTTTATTTAGATGTAGATTGGATTTAAACTTAAACTTTTAAATACTTGAATATGTTAATAATTATTGCTGGCAAGTTTAACATGTGACGAATTATTGTTAGTACGAGTTATTGTAAATGTGGACTTAAACGAGTGGACCGTGGTGTCCACCTCTAATTCAAACAATAAACATAAATCTCTGAGTGAAGGGAGTTTCTTTCACGTAGACCAATGCATAATAGTTCGTTCTTATCTACTTTTCAATTACTCCATCAGCTACCAAAATGATGAATCAGTTATTTCAGAAATCAATTCATGCTATTGTATTTGAACAACTGGGCACAAGTAAGCTAGCTGCGAGAGACAGTTATAATATTTGAAATAAAAATAAATAAATACAAACATATTCGTCGTCGATCAGGACATGAATCAGATTGGTTTTATCAATTTCTGACATGTTTTCGAAAAACATAGGGACATTGTCTATGGAATTAAGCAAATGTCATGATTATGTTTGATAGTCGTTTACTGTATTAAATCTTTTTCCGTTACGTGGTCCTATCCCCTGCCTTTTTATACTTTTCATTGTTCAATTCCGATTTGTGTTGCATCCACTCATTTATGAACATACGTGGTCCAGCTAAGAAATACACATCCCAAAAATGATTCATTTTTATGAAAATGCTGGTTTTCAAGACATATATTAAGGGGAAAATGCAAATCCAATATATTTAAATGGGGGTTTTTAATATTTCTTCTTCAGTATTTAAAAAAGTTTAGTATATCGAATTATTTTCATGAGAACTTGGGGTGCAGCCCTCACCAGAGAGAGGGAGATATTGTGCATAGGTTCATGCCTCACCAACTAAGAATAGACGTAAAAGGTAGTTATCACTATATATTGAGGATCACAATTCATAACATTTAGACATAGGAATTAAGAGCTATAGCTTCTACAGCATTCGCCGCTATACTACCTAGACTCATTGACAATGATTTCAAGCTTACAACATCACTAAACAGCAAACTATCATCATTCATTACGGTAAAAAAAATTCCCATCTCCAAGAACTGAAAATTAAAAGAATATTATAAACGGAAAAGGTCACACTAGCAAGGCAAAATCGGGTATTTCGAGGGGGGTCATCTGGGGTATACCAAACCATCTAGCGAACATCTTAACCTGAAATCTTTTGTCCCATCTATTACTGCATCAGCTGATTTGACAAATAGTCCCATCATGTGAAAATGGCAAATTGCTAATGCCGGACCAACCTACAGCCGGTAGAAGATAGTTTTGGAACCAATCTTGAAGGGCACATACAAGTAAATATATTAACTTCAAGCCCGGTCTTTTTATCTCTTGATCTCTGCTGAGTGGCACCAAACCATTGATGGGTTCATACATGTAGTGTCATTCTATAGTCTTTGTTCTCTTCTCCAACAGGGACTCCAAAAATTCCGAGCACAATTTGGTGAGGGGTGGCAACGAATGTGATGATCCACTAAATATGGTCTCCCAAGGCCTCTCGGAAGCAGCGGATGATATTGACGAAGCCATGTTCCTTTTCAAATCAAACTTGGGTAGCTCTCCATAAATTGATGTGTATCCAGATTGTACTGAAATTCAAGCCACAAAATGCAATCTATTATTTTTTTACCTACAACCTACCATGCTAAAAATGAGCAACAAATAAAATTCAGGTCTGAGACAAAAAAAAAGGTGATATTTGTTTAACAGTACAACCTATTCAATTCATTATTATTTTTTTATGGGACGTTGCTAATGTGTTAAGAGGTGTTACTTTTGGCTACATAACAAAACATGAATGTTGAAGATCATTTCAAACAAATCCAAGCCTAATTGTATAGCCTTGAGTTGCTCCTCTCTTTCATCTAATACAAAAACACATTAATAGGATAGAACTTGAACCTACGACTTCTTGTCTTCGACCCTAGACATGAAGCAGAACAGTATGAACTTGAACAAAACACAATAGAAGTCATCACACCTGTTTCTTCAAACGTAAGATCATCCTGCCTAGTGATACTAAGCTCACATGCTTCTTTGCCATATGGATGAAAAATGACATATTCACGATCTCCATTTATATACGCAAGCAGTGTCTGTGATGGTTTCCCATCAATAACTGATGCTTCAGATGGATCTCCTTTGAGAAAAGTAAGACCCCCTCCTTTGGCCTGCATGAGATGAGCCAGACATAAAGAACAATCCGAGCAACAAAAATTCAGTCGGTCACTAAAATGGTTAAAAAATTCAATTAAAAAAATCAATTTTGGAAGACATTTCTCAATACAATTCCTAAACAATCTGAATTATCTATTTCTTTTGTTTGAAGGTTATCATGCATACCTGAATATTGCTAAAGTGGAATGGAAATTTAATTTCTAATTAAATCTCCAAAAAAGCAATGCACAGACTGACTTGCACTCATTTCAATATGGCTCAGCATTTAACATGTTACATGACACAGACTACAAGATTGTGTCCAACAATCTTCTCCAGTATTTTTTAATCTCAGACCACCATATCTAACATAATGGATGGCAGTTTTGTCTATTTTTATCAAACACTTGGATATGACAGAGGATGATGGGTGTAAGTGGTTTGAGATTGATTGAATTAGGCTTCTTTGTTTTTTTTGTTAATTCCAATATTTTAGGGATTTAGTAATAGGAATCTAGACCCCCAAACTTACAGCTGGTTCAAAACTTAATGCAGATGCGCACAACCCACTCTGGCAATTGTCAAGGAAGGCACACTCCAGTACTCCTTACAATGAGCACAGTCATCTTCAATAAAGATGTATCAGTCTGTAATTATCTTAAGTACTGTTTTTTATCTTTTTTAATTGTTGTGAGTTCCATTTGTTTCATTTATCTTTTCCCTTTTTAGATTGATTCATTTAGCTCTTTCCCTTTTCCACACTCAGTTTTCTGTTTCTAAAATTTTACAAGTCCAATTTCTCTTCTATTATATTTAATATTTTCACCATCCATTTATTTCAGTTTCATTTTCAAGTTGGCCAGTTTGACAGTCTGTATTTTGAGCTTTCTAATTTATATTGAGAAATGATTATATATTTTTTTTCTAGTTTCTATTTTTATTATATAGCTATTTCTTGTCGTGGACTTTTGCTTTCCTGGTATGTACAGCTATTTGCTAATTATAACACTGGTTTTAAAATAATGAAAATTGTGATGCTATTCTAGGATAAATCCCGTTTCACTAAATCCTGTACAGTAATAACTGATATTTGGTAACACTAAGAATAAACACCATATATTTTTTCCTTAAATAGGATATGCCAAATAAAATCCCTAAGAGTACTATCAATGTGCATTTGAAAACCATTGTATATGCTGGTAGTTGACAACCCAAGTTTTTCCCTGTAGGCAAAATTTTACAGAGATGTAAAGGATTTATACCTTAGTTACAGACCAATAGGTCACAGGAACAGGATCAGTCACGTTGAATAATAAGATAAGCCCATCCCCTTTAAATGTACGATTATTCATTTCAGGAAGCAGAGCAAGGACAGCAAAATATGACCAATCTATTGCAGAGGAGACAGCTGCACGAATATGCATATAATCCATCAGATCAACACCATTCCCATAATGTAGTCATAAGTTTATAAAGATAAATCAGTCTCTACTAATATGGAAGAACAAAAGTAAAATATATCAACCAAATAGTTCAGACATTCTACTGATTGAAAGACAGACTTCAGAATTCAAACGATACAATCTCTAAATTGAATACTAGAGACATGCAATAGTCAGTATATCATGAGAAAAGAAACAATATCATTAAACCTTCTATTTGGAGTCTGTACGACCAAGATGCAGCTAACTTTGACATACTCCAAACAGACAGCTGTGGTTTTGAACCATTACTTACAGACAGAAGGTAATCTGACCTTCCAGCAAAGACAAGACTCGAGATAGGCTGGGGAAAAAATAAACAATTTAGAGATAAGGGGGAAATGAGTAAAAGTAATAATACAATTTACTAAAACATATAATCCAAAAGAAATATCATACAGGCATGCACACTCAAAATACAACAAACGGAAAATATTCTCTGGCATGTTTTCCATTCTTGGATAAAATATATTATAGACTATAAATACATGGCTAATTCAATTTTAATGCTTCAAAAAAAATTGTCAGTTTTGGTCTTCATAAGTTTAATAAACTTAAGACGGACAAATATGATAAAGAAGCTTAAAAGATTAATTATCTCTTAGCTGATCCATTTATTTATAGGAGAAACTACATGATTACAAAGAGTGTAGAAAACAAAAGGCTACACCTAGAAGCCAGTAGCTAATAAAAAAAAAACAGCTTTTAGAGAAGATAAGTTAACTGAATACGATAACCTATTCTAAAACGTTAACTTAATAAAATAACCTATTCCTAACAAATAATTTTTCAAAATGATTCTTAACATCACTTATAATGACATGGCATGCATCTAGTTATGACACCATAGTGTGGACGATGATATAACAGAATTGGCTGCATGCCATGTCAACACTGAATTATTGTAGGGATTTTAATTTTTAACAATAAAAGGTCCAAAACTAACAAATTTTGAGGACTAAAATGAAATTTATCCATAACTACAATGAACAGAAACATATTTAAGCCTCCTTTTTTTTCTTTTTCTTACTGGTCCTGAACTTGATGTTTTGATGCATACTGCTAGATATAGACCAAATAATACCAGGCCTTAAATCCTTACGAAAAGTTCACAGCCAAACACACAAGTGCTAGCAAATACTCAATGTATACATTTCACACATTGCATCAACATGTTTTATTTATTCACATAGAACACATTTATAGTTACGTGTTTTAGTATGAAGAAGCATAATAATAATATTAAGAAAAATAATAATAGGGATGACCAGGGTTCAAGAACATCACCATTGGAGTTTCCCCGATAACAGCAACAAGGACATTATTATAAGGATCCCACAATGTAATAACAGTGTCTGCAGCAACTGCCAGCACAGAACCATCAGCTGAAAAAGCAACAGCTCTCATGGCTTTATTTCTGCAGAGGCATGATGCATACACATCGTGACAAGGTGTTAGCTGTATAATCAACTTAATTTCAAAGAGAAGCAATCAACAGCCAAATCATATTGTGATCATCCTGCTGAAGAATGTAATTATGTTCCTAATTTTGCAAAGAACTAATCCACTTGAAGTGCTGCCAAAGGACCAAATTACAACAAAATGCAATACTTCAAGTGGGAAAACCAATAAAGTAATAAAGGAAATAAATCAGCTGCACACATTAAGGATCACAGCAAGGAAACTCTGGAAACTAAGAGAACTTCATGCCACTATTAATCATCTCTATTGTATTTAAAAATAAACCAAGGATAATAGCTATGTTCTTATCTGATATCCATAACTTGTGACCCATTTGATATTTAAGTGATAACTACTGTAAAATGTTATCCACTTTATCACAAATTTAAAGCTAATTAGGATAACTAACTTTGATATTGGTTTTTCCTTCAAGTTATAGCCTACAGAAGCAAATATTAATTAATTCTAACATAGTAGGATTATATACTTGTATGACCCAACAGCATGACACATCCAACCGGTATTCTGAAGCATCTGGCCTTTTTGCTGAATTTCTTCGTTGCATACCCATATCTGAAATATGTAGAAGTAAACTAAATAAACACCAGAACCCAATCTGAAGCATTCATAACAATTTATCCAAAATAACCTTGAAATCTCCACCATAGGATGAGCTGACAGCCATGTGACGAGTTGGATGGAAAGCAACAGCCGAAATATGAGCATCCCTATAAATAAGTAGACATGCATCAACTCCACTTTATATTAATCTAAAGGCAATAGCCACTCAAAATTCAGCTTGAAAAGGAAGAAGTGCAATTCTACAAGTGTTACAGAATAATTCCAAAAAATCAATCACAATATTTTAAAAATTGAATAAGTCATGCAATTCTATTAAGCTACCACTATGCCTACATTATGTGGGCCCACTTATATAACCATGAAAAAGCTTTTAGATTTTTAATTTTTCTAAATGAAAAAAATCTGTGGACAAACCTGTGAGGTTCATAAATAAGGGTGGACACTGAAAATCTCTTGTTATCATCCAAATCCCAAAACTTCAAACAAACAAGACCTCCTATACCATCTTCAGGAAGTTTCACTTCAACTGTACCCATCATAGTGCCATCAACAGACAGCTCCACCAAGCTCACCACCAGCTATAACCACAATATATTGTACAGATTAATCATCAATCAAATGCTTTATAAGTTGAGACAAGATGTGACAATACTAACAATAAGGATTGTGATTTATCAATGAAATTAGAAGAAATATATGTAACTAGCACATACCGTGACCTCATCAACTGGTTGATGGTTTCTTTCACATACTTGAACCTGCAGAACAGGAAATTCAAACATTAGGTGGCTAACTATAAAGTACCGATACTTCAGTTTGCTTCACGTATTTGTATCTGTCGTGTCAGATAGTTCACCGATACTTCACTATCCAAACCTATGAAGCATCAATACTTTTATTTATTTCACAATAATTATTTAGATGATTTACCAACGTGTATAACAATTAAATGTCAACATTTAAATTATTTATATTCATATTCAATGAAAGTTTAAGAAACATATATGTATCTATAATATAGAAACATATAAATACTATTTTTCATAAACCAAAGAAAAAATTGTTCTTATGAAATATTGTAAGAAATTAATGAAAATGATAGTATTATTCCTATTATATAACATTTTTCGTAAACTAAAGAAAAAAATTGTTCTTATGAAATATTTTAAGAAATTAATGAAAATGATAGTCTTATTCCTATTGTATAAGAGAAGATAATATTTTATAATGATAACTATATTATATTTTTTATTTCCACAGTTAAGAAATGTAATTTAAAATTTGTATCTGCACGATGGTAGCTTTATAGTTACTATGTTTCATGAATTTTTATTACATTTTTGAATGGTAGCTTTATAGTTACATGAATTTTATTACATTTTTTAATACGTATAGTACGTATCTTTATATGTATAGTACGTATCTTTATATGTATAGTACGTATCTTTATATGTATAGTACGTATCTTTATATGTATCGTATCCTACTTTTTTTTATAATAAAAGGGCATTACCTCATAAACTCCACGATCAGCAAACAAACTATAGAATTGGATGCGATAGTTTTCTGTTTGTACAGCCACTAAACCAGATGCACAGTCAAAGGCAACTCGGCTGGAAAGACCTTCACATAAAGAAGACAAAGAGGGCTGCAAAAAGAATCAAACTGAATTTCATTGTTCTTACCAGATTTTTCTTTTAGAAAGTAAAGATGCTCTAGCGTAGAAGTTTTAAATTTTTTTCAGTAAAAGATAATAGAGAGAAAATTCTAAAGAGATTTAAAGGTAAATTGTATTTCTGAAAAGCCACGTACAAAAAAGAGGGTTGAGCAGCCAATGACAAGCAAATAAAAAAACAGAACTAACACACTGACATGTCCTAACAAACAGGTAATTGAGTAAACAACTAGACATATAGCAACAAACTGATTCATAGTACAAAAACATATCAAGAGTATGCACTATTCTAATACTCGAAATAGTTTGGTGTGGAAATGTGAATTAAAAATTTCACCTCGTCAAAATCAAATATTGTACTAAAACTAGTCATTTCAAGCTTACAAACCTATATTTAGGAGAGATTTAAATGTTAATGATGGTTCATGGTTCAACTTTCCAATTAACATCTATTTCTAAAATGATGTTATATAACCAAAATCAGTACATTAGGAATGATATTAGGACATGGTGAGCAGAAAAATAAAAATACAAAGAGAACAAACATAGGAACTAACCTTGATACCAGAAATAGACCTTATTATATCCATAGAAGGCATCTTCAATATATGGATTTGATTATCTGCACAAGATAACTGCATACCTTTAATTAGTTAAGCAATATAAAGAACTAGCTGTCAGGACAGACTTCTAATTATATTTGTCAACTAAACGTTATTAATCCTTACCAAGGAGAGTGATGAATCAGGAGAATCTACAAAATAAACAAGTGGAGACCCAATTCTTGGTAAAGTTTTCTTGTTTCCGGTGTCTAAGTGCCAAAGCACAAGAACTCCTTCCATCCCACCTGATATCAAATGAAGCCGTATAAACAATAAATTATATTGCTTGACATGCATAAGAGAATTCGAAGACACATATCCTCCAGTTCAATGACTCCTTTAATTTACTTCTGGCAAGATAATTTACCTGAGTAGAGGTAGGCTCCATCCGAAGAGAAAGATAAATGCCTCACTCCAGAAGAGTGCCAATGCCACGTGGTGCATGATTCAGCATCATCATTTTCCCTTACCCCAGGCTTATCTTCCTTATCTGTCGATCCTGCATTCACTAATCCATTACTGTTCAGGAATTTATGAGCACCAAAACCTCTCCAAATCAAAATTCTTCCAGTTACATCACCAGCAGCCACAATTCTCTCTGACGGGTGGAATGCAAGAACTGTAAAGGTCTTGGTATGATGCAGGGTGATCTTTTTAGACACAGCAGAATTAGAATCCATTTTAGGAACTTTCCAAATTTGAAGTTTCCGCTTGTCTTTTATACCCATAAATTTTCCTGAGGGACTAATGGTTAAAGATTCTGGTAGTTCAGTCTGTGAAAAAGTGAGAGAATAATAATTAAAGTGCATTCTCATATACATTGACTGACAACAACATCTGAGGATGAACCAATGAACAGAAATCACACCATGGTTAAAGAGCAATTTATAGAAGTAGAGATTAACTACAAAGTTACGTCCAAATGACATAACCAATCCTCCCTCCCCTCTCTCACTTTATTATTTGTTCTTAAGAAAATGCCCTTAATTCGCTTGTGTTGTTTTACAGTAACAACACCAGATACTCGTACAAACAACAAAATAAACTGTACGAACATTATTAGCATCAAATACATGAAAACGCACGCGATAAGCTGTGAACTATATGCGCTAATTGAACCATTATTAGCATCAAATACATGAAAACGCACACGATAAACTGTGAACTATATGCGCTAATTGAGATTGAGTTTTTCACAGTTCAACCTTTCATAATGCACGATGTTTGCAATAATCACTAATGCATTCTTAAAAATTACCTCTCTCAATATTAGGTTGCTAACAGTATGAAAGTTGGTCAAATTACACTTCCTGATCTGTCCAAAACGAGGCTTGGGACGCTTGTCCTGTGCATCTCTATTTTCAACAGAAACATAAGCAATAACATTAGGCGACGACTTGGCGTCATTTTCTTCCCTCGTGAACAGTACCGAAGGCACCACCTGAAAAGGATATACAATGTACAAAAACTAAACACTGAGTTTGTTTTTCTCGCGTTTAAATTCCGAAAAAGCAATAAGAATTACCAAGGAGAAAATGGGAACGCGAAGGTCGAGAATCTTCACACATTCGGGAATGGAGTAGTTCCATTGGCGAATGGTTCCGTCGATAGAGGCGGTCCAACAGTAGCATAGTAACGACGCGGTAGTGGGGACCACAACGACGGCCGTGACGGGGCCGGTGTGGCCTTGGAGAGAGGAAACGAGGGAGCCGGTGGCGGTGCTGAAAACGGAGACAGTAGTACCGCTGCAAACGAGAAAGCGCTTCCCGTCGTTTGAAAAGGCGGGAGCGGAAGAAACGTAGTTTAGCCCTCCGCTTATCATGCTGCCGAAACGGTACGTTCTCGGCTGCAAGAGAACCCGTGAGCCAGAAAGAACAGAAAAGAAGTCTACTTTGAAGATTATAGGCGAAGGTTGCAGAAGAGTAGAGAATAGGCAATACCCTTACTAGGGTTTTGGGCCCTTATTTCGTTTTGGGTAATGATATAGTTTGACACCGTCATCCTAATCTGCATCTAAAAATAATAATAATATATTAAATGGTTAAATAAAGCTAAAGATTTATTCATAATCATCTATTTGCAAATATTTAATATAAAAATAAAATAATATTTATAATGATATAAAAAACTATGAATTGTTTAAAAAAATAAGAATTGATAAATAACTATTTAATAAAATATATTTGTAAATATATCATTATTCGTTAAATAAATGTTATTGTCATTTATAACTGATAAAATGTCACGAGTGCATAAGAAATACTGACAGATGAAGTGCATGGTAATACTATTATACGGATTATGTTTGGTGGTTAAAGTAAATATAAAAGAAAAGAAAAAAAGGAAATGGGGTGGAATTTATGACTTGTTCTCCTTTTCCCCTGACCCTATCTAAAACTTCTTTTATTCATTGTTTCCTGTATCCGCTAACACTGTCTTGGTGTTAGCCTTCTTCATTGTAAGAAAACTCATACTTAATAAATAATACGATACACGACCCTCGTGTTTCATTCAATTGTTGTGAGCTTGACTGTTTCATTGGTGATACCTTACATTTGGTGCTTTCATTGCCACCATGGCTGAGAATACTCGCTTGAAGGAGCTAGATGCTAATGTCAAGAAGATTATGGAGCTCATGGAAAAACGGGATTGAGATTATTCTGCCAGGTTTACGAAGCTCGAATTAGCTCTTGAACACGTGACCAGTATGCAATCCATCGGTGGCTCGAACTCAAATGCGACGAATGAAAAACCACAACCCTTTCACGTGCGCAACATTAAGCTGGATTTCCCACGCTTTGATGGATCTAATGTGTTGCAATGGATTTTCAAGACTGAACAATTTTTTTACTATTATTCTACTCCAGATTTACACCGTTTGACGATTGTCGTTGTGCATATGGACAAGGACGTGGTTCCTTGGTTTCAGATGATGAGTAAGAATAACTCATTCCAATCATGGGCTGCATTTACTCGAGCATTAGAGTTGAAATTTGGTCCCTCCCCATTTGAATGTCCCCGCTCTATTTTGTTTAAGCTCTCGCAAATAGGTTCGGTTAATGATTATTATATCGAATTTACTGCTTTGGCTAACAGAGTTACAGGGATTATTGTGGATACACTATTAGATTGCTTCATCAGTGGATTGACAACTGATATCCGCCGTGATGTGATCGCTCAGAGTCTTAATTCCCTCCTTAAAGTTGTATCCCTTGCTAAGCTTTATGAGAAAAAATATCACACCTCCACCAAATCATCTTATACCGCCACTTATTCCAGAAACCTTCACACAAACCTATCCCCATACCTAAACACAAACCAGAAAACCACATTCATACCTCTGATTCTGCCTAACCCTTCCCAAAAACCTTTTAACTAGCCCCTTAAATCATCCAATATCAAAAAGATATCTCCAGCAGAAATGCAGATCAGACGTGAGAAGGGCCTTTATTATACATGTGACGATAAATTTTCCCTACACATCATTGTCCTAACAAATAATACCTATTACTTCATATAGAGGAAGTTGATGATCCACCTCTAGAATTAGAACCGCTAGACTCCGTATTCGTGCCCTGTCCTGATGTTACCCATGAGCATCATGTTTCTTTCAATGCCTTGAACGGTTCATTTAGTTTGGGCACTATGCGATTTCACGGTTCGATAAACGGTGTCACTGTCCAAATCTTGCTTGATAGTGGAGTTCCGATAATTTCTTACGACCTCGTTTGGCTCATTATTTGAAGTTACCTATTGAGCCCATTCCCAGTTTTCAAGTCCTGGTTGGTAATGGAAATTCTCTCACAGTTGAAGGGTTGGTCAAAGATGTGACGATCACGGTTCAGGGGCATACTATCAAGTTGCCAGTTTTTTTGTTTCCTGTATCTGGTGCAAATGTTGTTTTAGGTGCTGCTTGGCTTGCTACATTGGGACCCCATGTCTCAGATTATAGTGCTTTGACCTTGAAATTCTATTTGGAGGGTGAATTTGTTACACTACATGGTGATCAGTCTAACTTACCAAGTCCAGCTCAGTTTCACCATATAAGACGAATGTGCAACATTCATGCCATTGCAGTGGCTTGACTTACCTCATGACATTCATCCGAATTTGGCTCTGTTGCTACACACCTACAAAAACGTGTTTGACAAACCCATTGGGTTACCCCCTGACAGGTCCCACAACCATGTTATTCCCTTAATTCCAGATAGTTAACCTGTTAAGGTCTGTCCCTATTGATACCCTCACAGCTAGAAGGAACAAATCGAGAAAATGGTTGAGGAGATGGTATATGAGGGAATCATAGCACCAAGCACTAGTCCTTTTTCTTCACCAATTCTCTTGGTTAAAAAAAAGGATGGAACATGGCGTTTTTGTACTGATTATAGAGCATTACATGCCATAACAGTCAAGGATTCTTTCCTTATTCCTACTGTTAATGACTTGATTGACGAACTCTTTGGAGCTAAATATTTTGCTAAGCTAGATCTTCGTTTGGGATACCATCAAATACTTGTATCTCTAGAGGACAGATTTAAAACAGCTTTTCGGACACACCAAGGCCACTATGAATGGCTTGTCATGTCATTTGGCCTTACCAACGCACCAGCCACTTTTCAAAGTTTAATGAATTCGGTGTTCCAAGGGTTGTTTCGAAAATTAGTATTGGTGTTCTTCGACGACATACTGGTTTATAGTCCATCTTGGTCTTCACACTTGCAACACTTAGAAGTTGTCCTAAAAATACTTCAGCATCACCACCTTTTTGCCAAGTTGTCTAAATGCCATTTTGGATTGGAGGAGGTTGATTATCTGGGTCATACAGTATCAGGCAATGGAGTTACCATGGATCAGACTAAAATCCAAGCTGTTTTAGATTGGCAACTTCCACAGTCCCTTAAACAACTTCGAGGCTTACTTGGACTCACGGGGTATTATTAGAGATTTATTAAAGGGTATGCAGTTATAGCTGCCCCATTAACTAATCTCTTAAAGAAAGACAAATTCCATTGGGACTTTGTTGCTACTGAAGCTTTTCACAACCTCAAGCGAGCTATTACTGAGGCTCCAGTCTTGGCCCTTCCAGATTTTACTAAGCCTTTTATACTGGAAATTGACGCCTCTGGTACAGTATTGGTGTTGTTCTGAGTCAAGCCCATCACCCCATTGCATTTTTTTTCAAAAAAATTATCTCCACGAATATAGAAAAAATCAGCCTACGTGCAGGAGTTTTACGCTATTACAGAAGCTATAGCTAAATTTTGTCATTACTTGTTGGGACATAAATTTATTATCCGCACCGACCAGAGGAGCTTGCGCAGCCCCACTGATCAAACCATCCAGACCCCAGAGCAACAGGCATGGCTTCCTAAATTACTTGGATATGATTTCACCATAAAGTACAAGCCTGGTTGTGACAATCTTGCTGTGGATGCCTTATCTCGGTCTTTCTTTATGGCTATTTCTCAACCTCAGTGGGATATCATTCCTAAGGTATGCGCCGCTATTGCTGTTAATCCCAAATTGTCTGAGATACTTCACTTATGTATTCAGGGCATTCCTCCTCACCCGAATTATTCTGCTTAAGACCAGTTACTATTTTGGAAGAACAAGTTGGCCCTTCCTTCCAACCATCCTTTTATACAACAAGTTCTGAATGAATTTCATAATTCCCCTATTGAAGGACATGCGAGGAGAGCTAGGACATTGGCTAGGGTTTCTTCTCAGTTTTATTGGCATGGTATGCAAAACGATATTAAAAATTTTGTCTAACATTATTTGCTCTATCAACAAGTCAAGACCACTACTTCTTTACCTGATGGACTACTCCAACCCTTGCCAATTTCAGTACAATTTTGGGAAGAGTTAGCTATGAATTTTATTGTTGGCCTACCTCTTTCACACGGTTTTATTGTGATTCTGGTGGTAGTAGACTGTTTATTTAAATATGGTCATTTTTCTCCACTCAAAACCGATTATTCGAGCAAGACTGTAGCAGACATCTTCATGCATTCCATTGTTAGATTACATGGTATGCCAAAGTCGATTGTTTTAGATCGTGATAAAGTGTTCATTAACAAATTTTGGCCGCACTTGTTTAAGTTGAGTGGGATAATCTTGGCTATGAGCACAACATATCACCCTAAATCTGATGGCAATCTGAGGCACTTAATAGATGTTTGGAGATGTACTTAAGATGTTTTACAGTTGACAATCCAAAGAGCTGGAGTAAGTTACTCTCATGGGCTGAGTTTTGGTACAATACCTCATTTCAGACCAGCATTGGTATGACTCCTTTCAAAGCAGTTTATGATTGAGATCCTCCTACAATCACCAGGTATACTTTAGACCATCAAGACCCTCCCTCTCTACAGGATTTATTGCTGGAACGTGACTTAGTTATCTCCGCCAGTTGAAGAATAAATTGTTAAAGGCTCAGCACAATATGAAGAAATATGCAGATAGGAAACGATCACAGTTGGAGTTTAATGTGGGTGATCTTGTTCTAGTTAAGCTTCAACCTTATAGGCAACACTCAGTTGTCTTACCCAAAAATCAGAAATTGGGACTTAGATATTTTGGTCCTTTCCCAATTTTGCAAAAAATTGGTTTTGTGGCTTATAAACTCCTACTTCCAGCTTCTGCCAAGATTCACCCTGTGTTTCATGTTTCTTTGTTGAAGCCATGCAAAGGTGAACATCAGCAACTGTATGTTCCTCTTCCACCTCTGACTGATGAATTTGGTCCTATTGTCCAACCATCTAAGATATTGCGGTCCCGAATTATTTTACGTGGCTCATATCAGATTCCTCAGGTTTTGGTCCAATGGGAAGGATTGGATACGACTAAATCTACTTGGGAAGATCTATCCTTATTCCAGGGTGTTTATCCTAACTTCAACCTTGGGGACAAGGTTGATTTTTATGGGGGAGGAAATGTCACGAGTGCAGAAGAAATATTGACAAATGAAGTGCATGGGAATACCGTTATACACGGGTGGGACACGTGAGGTGATAATGATGAAATCAGGGTGAACCGCAAAAGTGAGAGGAAAATAGTAACTAACTCTGCGACTCAAGGATTACGTTTGGGGGTTAAAGTAAATATAAAAGAAAAGAAAAAGAGAAAATGAGGGTGGAATTTATGACTTGTTCTCTTTTTCCTGTGGCCTATTTGGGACTTCTTTTATTCATTGTTTTTGTTAATTTCATATTCCAGTATCCGCTAACACTGTCTTGGTGTTAGTCTTCTTCATTGTAAGAAAACTCATACTTAATAGATAATACAATACAGGACCCTGATGTTTTATTCAATTGTGAGCTTGACTGCTTCATTGGTGATACCTTACATAAAATATTATTTTTCTTTCCATTTTAAGTAGGGATTCGTATCTTTTTCTCTCTTAATCCATTAACATTTATTTCAATATTTGTTTTCTTTTATAAAGGGATTTACCATTAAAATCTATAAAGGATTTTATAATTAAAATTTATAAATAAATATTATACATAGTCTCTCACAAAAAATATTATATCACTTACAGATTGAATTTGTTTTTATGTAAGTCTTATGTGTTTCTATGTAGTTAGCAATATACAACCTACAGTTGGAATTGGACATAATTTTGAAAGTATTGAAGAAATGTTTAAATGAAATAATTAATCAAATTGAGTCCTATCTATCATAGGTCAACAAAAAATATGATCGCATTACTTTACCATTTTCTTCTTTAGTTTACTTACCCATTTGTTATATCAAACATTAATCTCAACATTATAAACACCAAAAAAAACTAATCTTGTTTAAAAAAATTATATAAGAAAAAGTTGTGTTTTATTATAGAATTTAAAATATTGTGTGATAAGGATGTTTCTTAAAATAAAATCTTTATGAATAAAAAATTATAATATTAACAAAAAAACATAATTTAAAATTGTAATTATTGAAATGATAAATTTCTTCTTCCAACTATGGTGTATAAGTGTTTGCAACTTAAAAAAAGTAATTCATTTAGCGAGAAATATGAGGAAGGTCAAGATAAAAACAAACATGAGTAAGGAAAGATATATTTTTAAAAGGAGTGGAACCTAACAATATTTATCTCTCTATCTCTTTTTATTTGTTTTCTATATCTCTACTATTTTGTTATTTTATTTTTATATTCTGATTCGCACTGTTTTTCCATATCTATGAATGAGCCTTTTTATTGGGACTCTTTAGCCTTTATTTGGATTTTGTATTTGATAGTTAATTTGGGAGAACAAAAGAGAAAAATAAAATCAAAGAGTATAAGTGCGATCGTTTAAATTAAGACAAAAATAAAATAAATAAAAGGTGAAATAAATTTATTTATAATCTATAATTATATAAATGGAGGAATTATTTGTTGTAACTGCTTTCTTATATAGTTGAAGAGAAAAAAAAATAAAATAAAAGTGTTATAATTTAAAGAAAAAATAGTAATTATGATTTATATATTTAACAAATAATAAAAATATAAGAAAGAGACAAAAATGGATATATTTAAAAGAAATATATTCTAATACAAATTAATTATAAAAAATATGTACGTTTCAACACTTATATTTTATTAGTAATGTATAAAAGAGATTTTTTTTTACTTTTTTAAAGTTATGGGATAAACAAATATAATTTATATTTATATTATTTTATTTCTACATTTTTTAACCATATATTGTTTTAATTTTCTTCTCGAATATAAAATAATAATAAAAACATTTATTTCTTAGTCCTATGTTACACCTTTTATTCAATTTTTCTCTATGCTTATACCTATGTCCTCGAATAATTTACAATTTCAGAAATAAATATTCAGATTTTTAATTTAATATATATTAGATTTTAATAAATTAAAATAAAAAACATAATAAAAATTCAGACACACTAATATACCTGCACATGATACTTATTAATAATTTTTTTTGTTCTATTTTAATTATATATTATTATAGTGATAAATAAATAAAAGTAAAAAGTGTGAATAAAAATATTTGAAAAATAATATTTTTGGTATTGAAATACATTAAATTTACGCATTTTTTAAATTATTTAAGTTTTCATAGTTGAAAAAAAAAAAAAAAAAGACAATTTTAATGCACATATTTTTTTCGTTAAGAGAGATGTCTATGTTAAACAGTAAGATAATTAGAAACTTATTAAATCCATGATACCTTTAATATTAAATCATATATAATGAAGAGTGTAAAGACTTATTATAAAGGTTAAATTACATGTTAAGGCACAACTCTACAGAAATAATACTTGACCTTGTAGCCTAACGTACGAGGCATGAACCATACATGAATATATAATCTATCTGTTATTCGAACACACGTTTCGGTAGTTTTTGACGTTAAATCCATTAACAAATTATATTTCTTCTAACAATGCACATCCAAATACATTTTTTATAGTTTATGCTTTACACACAAGAATTTAACAAAAAATAGTTTGTTATAGATTATTTAATTTCAAATAATTATGTTTAGTTTAGTTTTTTAACATCCCAAGCCCGGATATCAGTCTCCAACTTCAAGACTTTTCCCTATTTTAATGACTTAGAAGATTCTCTACAGTTTGCACAAAACCACAGTATCTCAACATAATATCTTGATGATTTTTAAAAACGTTGAGATGAAAATAAGTGAACCTGATAACTAATGATTTTTTTCAGTTTCTAATAATCACTATCGCTTGCATAGGGTTTTCGCAGTGTTTACCCCTCCGAATAGGACAAACAAAATGCTTAGGAGACAACCCTGTCATCTGGAGAAGGCCAGAACCATGACCCAGACTACAATACAAAAAACAAAACATTTCCCCCAGAAAATAACTTGGTAATTAGATTACAGGTAGTAGAGACTGTCCAATCAGACTCAACTGGCAGGAGTTGGAAAATAACCATTGAATCATATCAATGGATGTAGATCGAATAACTTTGACATATCGGACCCATTCATTCTACTCCACATGTAAATACAAAGGTATAAATATACTCAATCAAAGCAAGAGTCTTCACACTCCACTTTGGAATAATCCTGCATAATGATACGAATCATCAAGTTAAAAGGATCATGCGTACAAATCAAGGATAAATAAACTGCCAAAAAAGGTAGTATAACTTACCTCCAGCTCTAGGCGAGTCAAACACTCTGTATTTTGCTCGATACCTCTTTCACTTTGATGCCTCCTTTTTCCTACAATCGAAATCTCCAAATTTTAGAAGTGAAAAAACAACTCTCACACATGCACTGGCATTTCTTATTGTAAAAATCAGTTGAGAATTCGATTATGCTATTGAAACAAGGAGCCATATCGTATCTAATGATAATTAACGGTTCACTTACAAAGAGGGAGTGATCAGGGACACTGGGTAACAATAAATTTATTTAGTATCAAAATAAAATGCTCATTCCTCAGAATGAAAAGCACCATACTCCTAATCAGAAAGGTCAAGATCCCAGATCTTTTCCATAATTATACAAGACCATAGCATAGCATACTGCAATGAAAGGCCTGTTGACTAGTTCATAAATTTGGGGATGAAGAAAAATATAAGAGGTTCATAACAGAATCCATAGTAACATCGTGGAATAAAGGGCCTTTATATTGGGAAGTAACACATAAGGGATCCATTATCTCCCTCAAAATCCTCTTTTCTCCGGACAATTTTCATCAGACTCCAAATTGTACTTAACTATCATTTTGGTTGTTAAAACTCAAACTGAGCACTTCTCTCTTTCATATGATTAAATCATAAATCAATTAGCAAAACAAAATAGTATGAGAATCTCACGAACCAGGGAAGGCCTCACTTGTTTTAAAGTTGGGTAAAATTGATCTTTAACAGAATTATTTTTGAATTGTTGAACGTAATTTGAATGTGTCCACATTAATTTCAGCCACATACATTACATGGAAAATGTGTCATGGTGGGAGGAATTGATTTTGGTGGTTGGCCAAATGGGGTCCTAAGTTAACATGTTTATTTTAGCTTTGACAGTAGCTGCCACAGTAACTTAGAAAAAGGCATGTGGCCAAAAGGCATTCTTAATTGTGTTAAATGCTTTTTATCTTTGATAATCTCAAACCAAAGATTCCTCTAAATTTTTTCTTTATTGAATATCACAGTGAAGTATGAAATCCATGAGATGATAAACAGAAATCATTCCAAAATATTGAAACCAATCTTCTTAAAACTGAACTCATCATCGTAAAAGAGAAGATAAGCCTCTTGTAACATCAAATCTCATGCAACTCCATTAAAAAAATACTTGCATAATAATCCCTCTCACAAGAAAGTCAATGCAGAACCTAAAATACTGATGTTCTCCGATGCTCAAACACCACTTAACAATAATCCAACTTTAATAGTCATATGAAATTTAATTTTTACCATCTGTGAGGACAGAACTTATACTTACTTTTAAGCCATCTAAAAGACGTTCTGAATAAGATTGTACAACTGTTTAAGCATTGCTACTTCTTAGAAATAGTTTAAAAGGGAGGGACATGGCACAAGCAAGGATATGGCATGCAACTAATTAACCTTGGTCCACATGTACTTAATATATCGAAAGTCCAGCAATAAAAGGTTCTTGTTGAAATTAAAGTTCAAATAAAGGAATATAAACTGGTAGTCTAACAATACCTAAGTAGCATGTCCACATATCAGTTCAAATCATAATTACCTGATATACAATACTCTTCAGTGCACAGGTACCTGGTCTGGTGTCCGGTGTCAAATTATGATATGTGGGGGATACACTTGGTCTGTACATTTGGGTTTGTAACAACTTTTTTCTTACATTAGGTAATGTGATATTTTTTTTATCAATCATATTAACATAACGTTAAAATAGTCAGAATATATTGTGGAAATTAGTATAATATTTTTTCAAAAGGTGAGAAATCCTTTGGACGGATAAACTCATGAACAATCCAATTGAGGAGACATTGACCACTTTTTATAGTTTTAAAATTTTCACCATTTATTATTGTAACTACAACCCTATGTGGTTTTTCATTCTTCCTCAATGTGGAACTTAGACTCATAATTGAATTCTCCCTCATGTGTGAACCTCTTCATATTAGTACATCCCCTTTGGATTACGTAACAATCTTTCTCTCAGGTGTGAATCTCTTTACATTGGTACATCCCCCTCAAGCTCACTAGTGACTCTTCCATGTACGGTTGTTCATCATAACAGGACACTCTCAAGTATGAGTCTCTTCACATGACCCTTCTATGTACCATTGCTCATCATAACAGGACACATCCTCAAGTGTGAGTCTCTTCACATTGGTACATCCCCTCAAACGCACTAGTGACTCTTCTATGTACCGTTGTTCATCATAACAGGACAAACTTACCTGATTCACTATCAAGAAGACTTTCGATACAATGATCACTCTCAAATTTGCCGGTCACCGCACAAACATAGTTTTAATACCACTTGGTGGGTCTTTCGAGGGGGGATTTACTGGGGATAAACAACACCGATGAGACATAAACTCAACCCACATCAGGAATTGACACCACTCTCAACCAAAAACCTTAAGGCATTGGGTTATGGGTCTTTCTTCCTATATGTTGTTCAACTCTCTCATTCTTACTCAATATAAAACTTAGACTCATACTCGGAATATTTAACATTTTCCTAGGCCACTCTGAAGTGGAATCATCACAGCGATTGTGAGAGATGGTACATTTCACTCTCCTCATCTGCCTGCCTCGTTCTTTTGGTAGGTGAAGTTCAGATTCACAGGAAATGTGGTCTTGGTCACAACAAACACCTTCTCCTCCTCCTTCTCATGCTTCTCCATCAATTTTTTCCATTCACCCCAACAGCCCAAGTAGCAAATTCCAAACCCAAAAGTCTCCATTGAAGGCTCCACCACCCTACATCTTCTACCTCAGCTTTGGGTCATCATGCTTATTGCATCAAATAGCAAATTAAAACAACCCTATTCACAAATGAATAGTGAATACGTACCCATGAACCAATTTGTGGTTTTCGGATGAAACCACCAAAGGGAGTCACATCAAAACAAGCAAAAGAATATCCAATTCTAAAAGGACACAAACTAATCTTGCAAATATTAGTGTCAGTCAATTTCTTACCATTCCCTTGCTCTCATAATAATCATCGAGAGCCCATTGATATTTTGACTGATTTAATCCAAACCAACGTGCCAAATGGTCATCCAAACTTGAGTGGGCTGTAAAAGAAAAGGTAATGGGTATTGTAATATAATAGCAGTGATTCACGGAATAAATAACATAATGAAAAGACTCAATCAAAGACCTATTGTATTACAGGATCTGAAAACAAAAAAAAGGAGGGGCAATACATGTTCATGCATATATTTATGTGCAATGCAAAACATCAGAAATAGGCAGTGCACGTCCCCAACCAGACTGAAAAGCAATATACACACATAAAGCAAGCCAACGAGCTATCGCTATATTTGAGACCTACCTTCCCCCTTGCCAGAAGGTAAAGAGAAGAAAGCATATATCTATATATCTCAGCGAACTAGAACCAAAAAACTTTAAAAAATTGGACGAAGATGCGTTTTGTCCAAAATAGTAAACAAAACACCAACAAGAATACGAATAGCCAAAAAGATTCCCACAAGACTAGGTCATACAATATAATAATTCTGGACTCACACGCATATATATCTATATATATTTCAGATATCAAATCAAGGTGTTTCTAAAAATAGATAGAATTATGATTCAACAAGTTACGAAAAATAATAACATAGACATAGAACGTCATCCATCACAACAGTCGCACATTTTTTCAACAACTAAATTCAAAATCCAAATAACCTAAAAACGACTTTAACTTACCAACTACAGCTCTTATTTATAATTTTAGTTTAAAATTTTCCAACTGTTGGACACATTTTATTTTCGGCGACACGGAATCTAACATAACCTAAGAGCTGAAAAGGGCAAAGTGCGTACCGGTTTGGACCTTGGTAACGGCGTTTCGGAAGAAGCCAAAAAGGGAATCGTCGGAATCGGAGAGGGGTTTGGGGGAAGGAACGGTTTTGGGAATCTGAGGCGGCGGAGGAGCGATCTTGGTGGTGGTAACGGGGTCATCGGAGGGTTTGGGTGTAGAAGGCGGCGTCATGAAAACGGTGTAAGGGCCGATTTTCCCGATGACCGGTGGCGGCGTAGATTCAGCGTTAATCGGCATTTTGGTCGGAGAGAGAGCGTGTGAAAGTAATGTTAGTTGGAAGAGTGAGTGTTGTGTTGTGTTGTGTTGTCTGTGAAATGTTGGATCTTTTGTCTTCCTATGTATTTGTTGTACTTCACAAGTGGTTTCTTTTCCATTCTTTTCTTTCTCTCAACTCCAAGTTTATTTATTTATTTTATTACTGTGTTACATTAAAGCAATATCTTTTTCATGATAAAGGGTTTCACAAAGTGGAAATGTAATGTAAGAACTTCAGTGGCAATTTCCCTATGCTTTTCAATTATAAACCTTTTATGAGATGCTTATTGGGTTAACAAAGCAGCTATTTTAAAACTGAAACGAGAAAGAACAATCTCCAAAAAGGAAGAAAATGAAAAAAAAAGGAATAACTGACGATCATACTCTTATCAAATGTATCACTTGTGCGTGAAACATATTTTTTTATGTTCCATTGATCATTTTGCATAGAAAATCTTCAATGCTAGTAAGCATTTATATCAATTAATAACTTTAATAAATAAAAAATATCACTTAATTTCTTTTAAACAAAATTTTTAGTTTTACATTAAAAAAATGAAAATTCCTATTAAATAATTTCTACTTATAAGTTACAACCTTCCACTTATAATTTAATGTCTAAATATTTAGGTTTTTGAAATAAACGTGAGATATAAATAAATAAAATTAAAAATCCAAAATTTATGTAAAATTATTAATTTAAATGTTTTGGAAATAAAAATTTATATATTTTATTTTGAAAATAAATACAAATTAAAATAATTTAATCACTTTAATTTGTGAAAAAAATAGCAAATATTAATTTTAAAACTATGGAATTAATTGACTGGAAATTTGAAAATCTGAAATTATAAAATTTGTAATTTTTGTTTAGTTTGTTACCAGTAAAAAAATTACTAAAAATACGATTAAACATCTCTTAAAAAATATTAAAACGAGCCTATTACCATATTCTGAAAAGAAAACATTTGTGCATCACAACTTGCATATTACCACACCACAATCTAAAAGACACAATATTCAGACATTTCATTTCATGCATACCCATACTTCTTCCACAACGTTGGTTTTCTCTTCCATAACTGTCTCGTTAAAAAACACAAAGTTAGTAATAAATATTTCCATCATATTTATAACAAAATTAATTATGGGAATTACCCTCATTTTTTTCATGTGAGAAAGTTGCCTAATATATTACCACTAATATTCTGCTCGTGAAGAATAATTATTATTAATACGATTTTTGTGTGATTGGTGTTTTAATTTAATCAGAAACCATTTTTATATAGTTTAAAAGAATTACACATATTAAAATGTTTAATAGTTTTTTTTATTGAATAATGATATCAAGTTATTTTGAACTCTAGTTTAAGCAGTGACGTAGTTGTGTTCTGGGCCTTGGCGGTTTTTGCTTGTATTACGGTAAATTTTTTTTTACAGGACTTATCAAAGGATTTCCTGTCATCCTTTTTAAGTATAGAATGAGTCAATAATCTATTTTGGTATTTTATTGAAAAAATTGTGATATTCTTTCTCCTTCAATTAAGAATTTTAATTTTTAGAAAAAAATTAGATTAATTTTTAAAACATTCAATATAAAATGCATTTTCAAAAATATATTTTGAAATGTCCATTTAAAAATACATTTCTAAAAAATTTAATCCAAACCTACATAAAATTAGGTATTCAAAATGAGTTTTCATAAAAAACAATCTAAAAATATATTTTAATTTTTTTAAAATATATTTTAAAAAAGAGATTCTAAAATATATTTTTAGAATTAATTTTTTATAAATATATTTTGAAATTGTGAATCTAAAATACACGTATTTGGAATACATTTTAGAAAAATTAATTTAAAAAATATATTTCAGAATTTACCTTCCAAAACATGTTTCTATTTTTTAAAAAAACTGTATTCCCAATCCCTTTCTAGCCAAAAATATTATTTTACTAGTATTTTATGTAATAAAAAATTAATACAAATAACATTTGATAGATGTAAAAGTTGTAAAATATTTAATTTGATTATGGAAGTGGAGGAACAAACTTCGGTGCCCGATACACGTGGCCCAAAAGAAAGCCCCCAAAAGAAAGCCCACCGTAAGTAAGAACAGAAAGTAGTTGTAATTAGACAGAATACAAAAAAGAAAAGAAAAACTATTTAGTTGTTTGTTTAGTTAGAAAGCAAAAAATATTTAAATTTTATAATATATATTTTCTAATTTAAACTTCATTTCTCACCTTAAAAAAATCCCTGCTTTCTCTTTTACTCAACAAATATCTTTAATGATTTAACTCATAAAATGGTTTGCGATGTTTATCGTATGAATTTTCGTTATGAAGAGTTTAAAAATCCCAAGAGATACTGTTATTTTAATTTCTCTGTGATCTAGACCCATTTTCAAAATAAAAATATACAAAGAAAACAACTTTATAATTAAATTAAACACAAATAATAATTTATAAATAAATAAAAATAAACATAAATTCTTTATTGCACTAAGGGGTACGTCATTTTAAAATTTGTGTTCTCTCTGTAAACAACTTTAGTAACGTGTAGCTATCAAAATAAGACGCTATAACTGTGCCGGGTCAAACTAAAAAAAAAATACACAGAAAAGGATAAACAACAGTGACTGTTTCGATTTGGAGGTTTCAGACTTGGGCAGTATCAATTGCGTGCAAATCTCTGTTGAACAAAACAACACAAGCTATTGCTTTCTTTGAAAAATGGAAGCAAGTTTCATGCAATTTTCAATCTTGTGCTTTATGTTTATGGCGACTGAACTTTCTGGTTTCTACTCAAATAATCACAATTGGTCATTTTCTTCATCCTTGCTATCCAATAGACATTTTGTTATTTTATAGAAGTTATTATTGGAAGAAGAGTTCGAGGAGGTTACGAAATTATGTTATGGATGAGTGTTGATCACAACACGTTTCAAGATCAAAATTCTTATCCTACTCAAAAGGAAAAGGGTGTATGAATTGTTGCTTTTTTACACATGTGTAACGCAGAAACCTGGTTATAGAAGAGTAAATGTCTTTTTAAAAAAAATTTATAAACTATTTAAATTTTAAAATATTAATATTTTTTTATCATAAAGATATTTTTTTATATTTCATAATTTATTATTTTTTAATTTTTTATATCAATTACTTTTTTTTCATATTTCTTTAATTTTTTATATCAATTCTTTAATTTTTTTTAATATTTATTTAATCTTTTATATCAATTTATTTTTTTAAATCTTTTTAACCAATTTAATAAATAAAAAATAACTTTTTTATATAATATTTTATATAAATTTTAGTAATAATTAATACTATTTTATTTATAAATTATCTTTATTAAATTTTATTATGTAATGTATTGTCGATTTTATTATTTTTATTTTTCATATATTAAATTTTATCTTAATTAAATAATTATAATTTAAAATATTTAAAAAATTGATAATTTAATCTTTATTACATTAAACTAAATAAATAAAAATTAATTTATTAAATATTTTTTTATAAATTATATACTTTATATTTTTAAATAACAACTTAAAAAATAATTATTTTATATATAAAATTAATGTTTACATATTATAATAATAATAATAATAATAATATTATTATTATAAGTGTTTTATATTTATATAAAAAAATTGATTAAATATTTATTTTACATATATATTTTAATATAAATATAATAAATTAAAAAATATATATTTAATTAATAATAATTATAAATTATGAATATTTATTTATATATAAAAATATATAAAAATATTAAAATTAATTTATTATAAATATAATTAATTTTTTTAAAATCACGTAAATCAATAATGAAATAAGGCAAGACAAGAAAAAAAAATATGAAATTTAATAAAAATGCGAATGCATGCTTAATTTCTAATATTAACAAGTACAGAGACGAGGATGAATAAAAACTTAGAAAGTTTAGAAGCCAATTGATATTTTGTAAAAATAACGTTTTTTTTAATATATATTCTACTCTTTTTGCTTATACATGAGAAGAAAATAATTATAATAAAAATTTACATTTTTATTTTCTTTTGTCATTTCTTTTATTATCGAACAAAAGAAAAGTATTATTTTTCGTTTATTTCTTCAATTAGTCACTCTTCAAACTAACGAAGCTTTTATAGGGAAAAATATCAGATTGTAAGGTGACCAATAAAAAAAATGAACAAAAATTATTTTCTGTCATTCAATAATAAAAAAAGTGGTCAATAATATTTTTACTGTTATGTATATATTTATTTTTTATTTTCATATAGACAGAAGATAATGAAAATATGAGAGAAATACTATTTTATAAAATTATCTTCATCCAAATAATTTATATATATATATATATATATATATATATATATATATATATATATATATATTAATTACTATTTGAATAAAATATCATTGATAAAAATGAAATGAATAATCTAAAATATATTTTTAATATACTATTATTTTATTAATTTAAACTTAAAATAATTTAATTTCTTTTTTATAATTATATATCACTATATATTAGCAAATATATTAATTTAAAAAATTTCATTATACAAAATTATTAATAATTATACGAATAATTTTATAATTCAAAAAATATTTAATTTTAATTTGATTATTTATTATTTTTAAAAATATCACTTTTCATTCTTTTTATGTCACTTTCTTCTCAAACAAATAAAAATATTTTTCACACTAATTCATTTCTCTTTCCCGGACACCATAGGCTTGTTTGTAAAACTAATGAAAATAATTTTTTATTTTTTAAAATAAATTGATAGCCCAACACAAATTAAATTTTATAAATTTAATAAAATAATAGTTTCAATAATATAACAATATAATAAATAACTATATATTTATTAATAATAAGAAGAAACATAATTATAATAATAATGATAAAATTATTAATATCTTTGGCATCATTTATAATAAAATATATAAATATATAAAAAAACTGATATTAAAAATAAGATAAGAATATAATAAAATGATTATTATTTAAAATTAATGTGAATAGTATATTAAAAAATTATATTTTATATATAAAAATTATTTTAAAAAATTGTATTATTTTCTTAAAATCTCAATATTTTACTAATTTTTAAAATTTAATACAGACTTAATTAAAATAAAATTTTGTTTAATCAATTCTGTTTTGACATATTGGCGGTGTATCTGATCTAATTTTCAGTAAATTATAAGGAGGTAAAAAATAATGGTGATAAGTAATGGACTAATAGTAGGGAAAGGATTGAATTAAAAACATGTCTGAATCGATTAAAAGCATTAATTTAGTTGATTTGAAATTATGTGTGTTTTTATAGGTGCAATGGTCAGTTTTATACAAGTGATAAAAAGTGAGCTTCTGTATCATTTATGACAGATGGTAGTGTAGCACAATGAGGATAACATGCATGTGGTTAGAACTAAGAGTGTAAGGAGTGGTGGGGAAGTTAAAAACGTAATGGCTTAATAACCATTAAACATTCCAGTTTTGGCACGAGGCAATGGTTAAAGTACATGTAATTAATGAAGGCATTTAATAACATAAACTTAACTTCTCTTTCCTGTCAGAAAAAAAAAAAACTGAAAATAGCAAATAAGGTAGATCCAATTAAAAAGAAAATAATGAGAAAGATTGGTGAGTCACCACTCGATAGTTGATTGTTGTGAGACACCCCTCATGGATTGGACCCACACACGAAGAAAGTCAAGAGAATGACTGAAAAGATGTAGAGTTCGGTGATGTCTGTGTTTATTTTACTTTATAAGTATAATTCATAAAAATTAAAGAAGAAATTAAAGAAGATATTTTTCATGTAAGTGCATCAACACATTAGGTCAAAACGTTACCTAGTGTTCAGTTATCATTAATTTATTTTTTTCTTTCCGTTTTTTTTTCTTCTGTTTTTTCTTCTTCTCAATTTCCTCTTATTTGTAAACTAATATGCTCTGAAGTTTTACTGTATTAATTAATTATCATGGAAGTTAACATAATTTAATTTTTTTTTAATTTTCAATATAAAATAAACACTAGCTAACTCATCATAGTTAAAATTGAATATTTAAAAACTTGTTTTCTTAAGTTATTTTTCTCATATTTTGATATTGAAAAACAAGCAGAAATAAAACCTTAAATATATGAGGAATAATCTAATTAAAAAAATCAATTCAATTTTTCTCTTATTTTCTATTTGATTTTTCTCATATTTTCGATCATTACGCAAGATATTTACATTTTTTTTATAAAAGGAAGTATCTTATAATTAAATAATAACAAACAATTATTTTATAAGGTTGTTCATCTACATAAATATGATACCTGACAGTGAAGATGAAAAAATAAAAATAAAGTACAAAGACTCTGATGCGAATAAATAAATATTGATATGAAAAAATATCCATATAAATGATAGAGATATAAAATATTTTATATAATAACATGTATAACTACTCTAAAATAATCAGATATTTATCTATATTTTATTAAATATATATTTATAATTATTTTTTATAATATTACATATTTTCATAAATATTTTCTTTATCTTATTATTAGATAGATAAATATAAATTTGATTAAATATAATAAAACAATATAATATGAATATAGGAAAATGGTTTAATATCAATATATGATTGATTTAGGGTTTAGGTTATGTTAAATCACATGTAAATTCATAGGATACATCATCTTATCATTCATACGTAGTGTGTTGGAAAGGTATACGACTCTGGTTTTAGAATTTGACCTATGAGTTTGAAGATTCTTACAATCAATTTGCATTAGGACAAAATAAAATGAAACACTAAAATACACGTAATGTGGGAATTATTAGATAGAAAATGTACATTAACTAATCGTACAAATTCGGTTTATCTGAAATGCATCGTATTGTATTTGTAAGGAATTTCAATATATTTTATGACGTTAAGATTTAAATATTAAATTCTGTTTATATGAAAAATATAGGTAATATGACAATATATATATTATTAATACATACATCTCAATAAATATTTATTAAAATAAATTCGTATTAAAAAAAGTATTCAATTTTAAAAAGATGATTTTCTATATTTTTAAAATGATATATGTTTCGTTTAAAAATAAAAGTAATTTATTCTTTAAGTTTATTATAATAATAATATTTGAGAATTAATCATCATATTTATATGATACAGTATGATCTGAAAGTGAAATTTCAGTGTCCCACTAATTCACTGAGTTAACAAAAGTTTTAATTTCTCAAATAATATAAAGCTTGTAAATATATGGAAACATAGTCTCGGTTGATAAATAAATGTTTTACCTTATTAAAAAGGAAGAACTTAAGATTGGCATTAATAATGAGTTGAATTTCATGTTAGGTTATTTGATTAGGAGTGTGTAAAGTATTTGAGTGAAAAGGAAAGAAGTGTGCAATTGCAATACTTGTTCTTGGGTGGGGTGGAGCAATGGATGAAGCATCTGCAGACTATACCGGTGGAGAAGATAATCTAGTATTATAGCATGAACGTGGGATGCCACGTGGACTTGTTTGGCTTCTTTTGGGAAGTGACGTGTACATGAGGAGAGAGCGCGTTGTGAAAAATGATAAAAAAAATCTGTTTTGGTAGTACATGCTCAAAATTGCAGGCGCTACAGAGGAGCGAGAGCGAGCGGAGGTATAAGTGAAGTGTGGAGTGTTTGGTTGGTTTGGGTTCATTTAACTCAAAATCCACCCTCACCCTCCCTCTTCATGGATTCAATACTTCTTCGATCTCTGCCCAATGCTTCTTCTCTTACCACTGGTATTCTTTTTTTATTTATCTCTGCTTCTCTTCTTCTATGCCAATCTTTGATCTGTTTTCCATCTGAGACATTTAACAGCCGCAACCGTCGGTGGTGGCAGGTGGAGATTTCTGCAGGACTCGACATTGCGCTGCCATCTTTGCAAGTATGTCTCCTCTTTTTCTCTCCAAATTTTCATTATCATTGTTGTTAGTATGGAAAAAAAATAAATAAATAAGAGGAGATTAAATGAAATACGAGACTAAATGGACTTTGGGTGTGGCTATTTCAATCCAAAAATTAGGTTAGGAAGTGTCAGTCATTTATTCTCACTTTGTTACTTTTATGTCAGTACATCCTCACCCCCTTACTCTCACCACACACTTTTTGAGTGCCATAGTCTATATTTTCTACAATTTGTCCTTCAAATTTTTACAGAAAACTTGTATAATAGAAAATAAAAGAGGAAAGAAGAATAAAAGAAATGAGATGAAACTTTTCATTAGTTTTCTAAAATAAAATTTTGAATTTATATAACAGATTTTTATAAATTAGCAAATGGAGAAACTTATTTAATTTTTTCTTATTTTTCTTTCTTTGTAGTAGTTAAGTTTTTTGTTTTTCAAGCAAATTCCTTATCTAATTCAATTCCAGAAGTTAGTTCTAGAGATAAGTTCAGGGTATGTTTTGGAAAACTTTTGTAAAAAACATAAAAATGAAGTGAATTAATTTGTTATATTAAAATTAGTTCATGTACAGGTTAAAAGTAAGAATTATAGAAGCTAAACGAAAGAATTTTTATAAATTAACTTATGCATATTTCAATTTTGTTCTTTTTTTTTTCTCGTGTTTATACAGAAATTTGTCCAAACAGATCTTTAAATGTAGTTTATAAACATTTTCTCTTATTATTACAGGATTTTTTATTTTTTTTTAAGGATGACCAAAGCAATCAATGTGTTCGATATATCTATCTATCTTATAGATGAACTCAAGATTGAAATATTAACAGTAGAAAGAAAACCTGTTCCAATAGGTCTGATTAACTGAGGGTGAAACTATATCACAAAAAGACTACATCAAAATAGAAGATTCCTTTAACAGTAGTTGTAGATTGTATATTATTATTAGTATTGCTTTAAATTTTGAATGTGACAAAACTTACATGCACTTATCTAATAATTGCAGTTTGACTTCTTATGCATGTCATAAAACTCTTTCCATCTACATATTAATAACAGTATACGTCTTGGTAGAGCTGTAAATCATTTGTACCCTTTCCAGAAGTTTGGATATTGATTATAAAACTCCTCATATATATGTTTTTCCTTACCTCTGAATCAGATCCGTTCTAAAACAATAAATTATATGTTTTTTATATTATGCATGGTCACTGGTACTAACGTGCAACATTTGGTGTTCTAGGTTCTTATGTGCCAAATGCTTCACGTAACAAAAGGAAAATCCAAAAAGAATTTAATTGTTTGAGGATACGGTGGCCAAGTTTGAACCATCCTTATAAAGGCAGTGAGGGAGGGTATACGTTTCAAAAATATAATGTAAAATTGGTTGTGAAAGCTACCTCTGAACAATCTTTTGAGTCTGAATCTGAAGTCTTTGATTCAAAAAGCATTTTGGACTCTGTCAAAAATTCCTTGGATGCTTTCTACAGGTTTTCCAGGCCCCACACAGTTATTGGCACAGTTAAGTTCAAGCTTTTGTAGAATTACTCATAGAACTAATCCTCAAATACTTAATACAATGAATTTGGACTTTTGGATACTTGTAATATTCTGAAGATTTTAAATGACTGTCCTTTTTTGTGTTTGGACAGGCATTAAGCATAATTTCTGTGTCTCTCCTTGCTGTTGAGAAAATATCAGACATATCTCCATTATTTTTTACTGGTGTGTTGGAGGTTAGACCCCAAATATGTTATTTCTCTTTAAAAAGCCAATTGCTCCCCTCTTCTAACTTCACCAATACTTTTTTGACTTTTTTTATATGTTTCAGGCTGTGGTTGCTGCCTTGTTCATGAATATTTATATAGTTGGTTTAAATCAAATATCTGATGTTGAAATAGACAAGGTATGAAACTTATTAATTGAACAAAAAAAACAATCAACATAGCTGCTAAATTATTCTTTTTCCAGTGCCTTTCAGGCTTCTCAAATTTTCCTGTAAAAGTAATGTATAAATGATATCGACAAAATTCCAGTCTTGTTTTATGCACAATTTGAGCAGTTAAATCTTGAGCATCAAAATCTGGTTTATACGTTACTTTTGTTAAACCTTGGATGTGGTTAAAAAATGCAACCTTTTACAGCTTCAAAATTTTCAGGGGAACTACTATATGGATAATATAATTATTGATCCATGCTTTGTGTTTTATGCAGATAAACAAGCCTTATCTTCCGTTGGCATCTGGGGAATATTCCTTTGGAACTGGTGTTGCTATTGTTGCATCCTTTTCAATTCTGGTACCCTATAGATTCATCCCTTTTTTCAATGATATTTGTCAAAACAAGATATTTTGGCTGGATTGAAGGAGGTTTATTGTTTTGTTCTTGTGTACAGAGTTTCTGGCTTGGCTGGATAGTAGGTTCATGGCCATTATTTTGGGCTCTTTTCGTAAGTTTTGTGCTGGGGACTGCTTATTCAATCAATGTGAGTTATTTTGGATTGCGTTTAATCTCCCTTTCTACCCTCATTATTAAAGGCATAGTTAAGAGTTATTATATGTCTAAATTCTAAAATCTACCTGCTTTTGGTTCTGCACAGTACTTGCATTGTCAATTTACAAGGGAATAAATGTCAAATAATATCCATTTTTTTCCTTTTGAAAGAAATCAATGCAAACTAAAGGTAGAAGGAGTTTAGAGTTGAAATTGGGTAACACTGAGATTTATATTTTAGCAATAACAATTAATCAAATGGTAAATTAAGAGGACAATAGTTGTGCTATCTGATATGGATTTTGTTCATAGAAAAATTAACTTCGTTTTTGCTTGTAATTGAGTGCTGACAGCATCATTTACAAATTATGGCTTTTTGAAAATTTTTAGGTTCCTCTATTGAGATGGAAGAGATTTGCAGTGCTCGCAGCTATGTGCATTCTTGCTGTTCGGGCTGTTATAGTGCAACTTGCATTTTTCCTTCACATGCAGGTTATGTCCTATAGCTAACTGTTCATTTTAAATACTTCTAGTTCTGTATGAGCAGCATTAGCTTTTGTAATCTTGACAGCAATGACAAATCTTTATCCCAAATTTGTATGTTTTGCTTTTCTGGATTCATGATAACCTATTTGAAACTGCCAACAATATGAATTAATCTGTCTTCACCATCTAGTCCTAGTGAGGCCTATATTCTCTAATAACCCTTCCTAAGTATAACTACTACGCAAGAAAAAAAGTGAAAGGAATAAATGCATTTTGACGAATAGTGTTAGCAGCATGGTATATGAGTAATATGTTATAACTTTCCATACAACAAATATATATCCCTAGGAAGTTTGATGTTTTTGATTGCTAATTCTTGTAACAATGTACAGACTCATGTGTTCAAGAGGTCACCTGTCTTTTCCAGACCACTGATTTTTGCTACTGCATTCATGAGTTTCTTCTCTGTAGTTATAGCACTGTTTAAGGTAAAGGCCTTCAATTTCTTATAGAATACGTTTATTTTCACCGTCAAATTTTCTGTTCTATGTGTACCTGTTGTAACATGCTGTTTTTTTATTATATTTAGGATATACCTGACATTGAAGGGGATAAAATATTTGGCATCCAATCTTTTTCAGTACGATTGGGGCAGACGCCGGTATGCTCTTCAGATATACCATCTCAGCAGAATTGGTTCTGCCCTCCTCTATCCCTTATTTGTTGCTAACTACTCTTTTCCAGGTGTTCTGGACTTGTGTATCCCTCCTTGAAATAGCGTATGGAGTCGCCCTTCTGGTGGGAGTTTCGTCACCCTGTCTTTGGAGCAAAATTGTCACGGTATTTTACTTATTAGTTATTCCATGTATACACCCGCAGTTATAGGTGTGCTTGATCCTGCTTCCATTTAAGCAGTTATTTCTTTTGTTCCAGGGTGCAGGGGGATGAGTTGTGATTTTTATTTATTAGATTCAACAACCGAGTTGCACTGAAGTTGATCTATATACTTGCCTTCTTTCTCGTACTGTATATTAGTTGTCTAGTATCTAAATTTGGAAAACTTGCCAATCTTCTGCTGCATTTGTTTTACTACATATTGGAAAATTAACTTTGACCTCGTGACCTGGATGTCACAGGTTCAAATCATGAAGTAGCCTCTCCTCCACTTGTAAGCAAGTGGCGAGGCTATCTTCATCTACCCTCCCCAGATCCCACTAGGTGGGTAGTCTTGTGCCTCTGGGCAATTGTGCTCTGAATTACTAAACCGAGGTGCTCTTTCATGAATTACTAGGTGGTACACTCAAATTTTGTTTAATATTATCAGCGTGTAATATGGCAAATATCTGTACTGGAATAAGGAAATACGTGTAGGCAAGCTGTCATGTTATTGTTGCACAGTATATTCCAAATTTTTAATCTTGTTATTAGTGTCAAAAGTAAAATGTTCTTTAAAGGAGACAGGCGCCCTTTCAGAAGAAATCTTAGGTCTATTGCTGTTCAGAATGATACCAAGTGAATGTAAACATTTTTACAGTATCTAAAATTTTCTCTCTACCAATTTGTTAGGGTCTTGGACACACTGCTTTGGCTTCAATTCTCTGGTATCAAGCCAAATCTGTAAATTTGAAAAGCAAAGCTTCGATAACATCCTTCTATATGTTTATTTGGAAGGTAATTTCCAACCTTGAACACTGTGTATCATTTCATTAGCTCGTTATTCAAAAGAAATAAGGAAAAAGCTATCTATTTTAGTTTTTCCCGTTTTGAGAATTAATAGTTCTTTGATTTCTATTATCTTCCAAATTCCAACTGAAATATATAATAACACCAGGGTACACTAGCTACAGTGAAATTATGTCCATCTCTACTTTGTTCACAGCACATGGATGGGGACATGAACTATTGCCTGCTTGTTTGTATATTAAATTCAAATTGTTTGCTCTATCTTGTATTGATGTCTTGTTTCTTGTTGCAGCTATTTTACGCAGAATACTTGCTCATTCCTTTTGTTAGATGAAAAGATGCAGAGGGACTGTTGTTGACTTCAGAAGTAGTTTTTTTTTTTTTTTTTCTTAAATGGAGCTAGCTACCTTTGACACTGGCAACCTTTAATTACTAATTTAAATGAATTTTAGGATGTATTTTTCATTTCTGTTTACTGTTTTGCTTTCAGTGGTTTCTTCAAATATTTTTTCTACCTATTACTACTAAAAAGGTAAAAAAAAAAAAAAAAAAGTAAAAACTGAGTGTTTCTAGTGTATTTTTTTCTTCCTTCTATGAACATGATCCACCAGGATCCTAATCTGGTTCGGTAGAAGATTAGTAAAACTTGATAAAAATGATTTCTGTTAAGGATTTATCCTTTCTTTTTAAGATAATAAAGCTTGATAAAAATGAATCCTGTTAAGCATTTACCCTTTCTTTTCAAGGTAATGTTAACTTTAACATAATTACCGACTTTTTGAATACTAGATAAAAGTGTTTTTAAGAGGCTCTTTTTTTTTTTTCATTAAAAATATAAAGTTGTTTTCAGTTAGAGAAATTTTGAAAAACATTCAAATCATTCTAAATTTGTACTAAAAAATGTTCTATGGGTTTTAAGATGACAAGTAATACAACTTTGAATATGTACAATTATTGACTCTATACACGAGAAATATTATTTAATAACTGATTTATTGACTACCTCTTGGAAAAGAAAATCCATCCAGACCAAATACCAAACTAACATGTTTTATGTGTCATGCATGGATAAATTGAAAATTTAAATAAATATAAAGAAAATATCAAAGATAAAACTATATATTCGAGAAATTATTGTGAACTGAAATTATAGTCCGAGTAATACATTAAAAAAATGTTTATTTTCTATAGTAAAAGTTTATAACTAAGAAATGAATTATATTTAGAATTTATAAATTATGTTTTAGATATATGATAACCAATGTATATTGTGTCAGTCATTGTTAGTTATCGATAACTCTTAAAATATTAAATTTTATCTTAAAAATCTGAAAAAGTTGAAAAAATAAAATTAAAATACATTTAAAAATTTTGAAAATTTTCTAAAACTGATCTAATTGAATAATGTTCATAATTTATATTTAGAGGATCATGAAGATTATATTATATTAAATAATGCTAAATTAATTAGATATTTTTTACAATTTATGAAGAATTAAACGGATAATTTTAAAAAGTAAAATAAACTAAATTTGAAATTTTGAAAAAATAATTATGCTCTAATTGAATAATATTTATTTTAAAAAATAACTATTCTAATATTTATTCAGAGGGTAATAAATATCATTATAATAAATAAGAATACATTAGTTAGATAATTTTTAAAAAATAATGAAGAAATTATGAAAAATAAATCATTTGAATTAAAATATATTTTAGCTATGTCTATTAATTCGATATGGTTTAATAAAGTTTACAAATTAATTTCAAGCTAAGATTGATCCAATTTAAGAAATTGTAACTATGAAATTTGAAATGGTACGTGAAGATTCATTTTTTCTTTAGATTAAAATTAAGCATAGTTAAATTTTGATGCGATAGTTTAAAAAAGATTAAGAAAACACGCATGGTTCAAATAATAATAATAATAAAAAACAGTTAAATATAATTTTGATGATCACTATGTTTAAAAAATTAATAATTAGTCCTCAAACATAGAAACAATTATAAATTTAATATTTTATCAGTAACAAAATATTACTAAATAATAAAATTATATATAAAGAATTACTAGAATTATATTTAATTACTTTATCAATTCTATTAAGATAAAAAGTTATCATTACAAATTAAAATTAGATACGAAAATGGATTAAATCTACATATATCTAAAATTTTGAGGACCTTGTTCATGAATTTAAAATACAAATTTGAAAAAATGAAATGCCGATACTAAAAGTATATTTTTCGTAAAAAAACAAAAAACTTCTCATTTAAGAGTGAGAATTCACTGGAGGATATTCTAGCCGTAAATAGTTTGTTGACAAATGCAATTTTTAATTTTTAATTCTTGATTGTGATTGGATATTTGAACAAGTTACAAGTTTTAATTCTTGAATCTAGAGTGTTAGTTGAGTAAACTTGTTTAAAGTGATAAAAACAAACTTTTCTTATAGAAGCCATTTGGGCCTATTTCCGGCCCAGAATTGGACATCATCATGGAGTCCAATTGGATATATAGTAATTTGTTTAGTAAAAGGGTGGTGTGGATAGACATAAAATATAAGTTGCCGATATGGTCATAATTGGGATGGAAAAAGGTCTTCACATGGGGTCCTACAAATCCAAGTATGAATCAAGGAAAGAGTGGTTGAAAAAAAAAACAGTAAAATATAAAATTGCGCATGCTTATCTGAACACAAGAACAAGGTAATTGGTCATCAAATTAGTGCTCTCACATTTATCTTTTTTGTTTGGTTTCCCTTAATTTCTAACTTGTGAGGTTGGTCAGTAATTTGCTTCTAACAATTCACATCTGACTTAGGAGCCCCCACATGATTTCCATGGAAAATTATTCAATTACTCTTTTTCTTCATCTTGGGTGTGCTAGGTCGTTGACAAAAACAGTGGGAATGCTAGCAAAAAAACCTTTGTTGGTCGTTAACATAGGTTGCTAAGTTAGGTTTATAATGGTGGAGACAACTAATTAGGTCCAACAAAGGTACAAAAATACAAAGAAAGTAGATTGACACCAAGTGCATCATAACTTAAGAGTTAAGAGCATACTTATGAAAATATAAACACAACATTTGGTGTTGTTCTCCACAAGAGGAGCAACCCGTGTGTGTACCCAATGGGTAATTGTCAGTACTTTTAAGGGAGACTCAAAGGACACTAATGGTCATCAACATGGGGGCACGCATGATTGGACTAGGACCAACAAAATCATGCCTTTTCCTCACCTCAAAAAAACATAATATATTCACTTAACATTATAGGAGAGAAGTTTGAAAATTTTATCAATTTTTTTTTCTTTAACAATACCAGAATTAACAATTTATAGATTAGAAAGATTTATGCTAAAAAATATATAGCACCAGTCATAGGTAATATATTGAACTGTTTACACTAGAGTTGGAGCACTATTTGATGCGCCAGTCTTGGTGGAGGTATAGCAAGAGTGAATTTGTCTTTCACGAACTTTCTAAAAATCAACAGTACTTACTACGAGTTTTATTTTTCAACATGGTTTTCAAATTGATCATGTTCTAAATAAGGTTCATGAATAAAGCTTGAGTGGAGAGAATCATTGCCAAATTATGTCTACATTTGTCTACGGTGACTTGGCTGGAATTTGTCACACTTCATTGGCTTCAGCTTTTGAAGAGATGGGGTACTATTATTGGTCTAGGTCTGCAAATAAATTGAATTAAACATAAATTATTTAAATATATTTTCTTAAAATTTAATAAATATAAATTAAACATAAATATGAACTAATTATTTTTAAAAATTATGCACACGTCTTCGCTCCTAGATCGACTCAAATTTACATAGATATAAATTTAAATTTTCTTTTCAAATCCTTCCTTATTAATCCATCTTTATTTCTTTGATTATGGAATGAATTTGAAGAGTAGAGAATAATAACAAATTAAATTATTTGAATTAAAAAAATAGATAAAAAATATAAAAAATAAAATTAATTTGATCGATTAAAAAATAATGTAAATTAATATAAATGATAAAAAATCTTTTACACAATTTTAATAAGAATAAATATAAATTAAAGTTGGCATAAGATAAAATTATTTAATAAAATAGATAAAAATGAATTGAAATTAAAATTAATTTATATAAATTTACAATATTTTATATACATGTGAATACTTTATAAATTTTTCATAATCACTTTTAGTAATATTAAACTGTAAAAATTGTTAGACAAATGTCATCTAGATGGGGTGAATAGATGCACAAATTAAAATAGATGTCAAATTAAAAATTTATTTGTGAGTCAATAATTTGTTTGAACACAAATAAAGCGGAGTCGATAATATAATCAGGAAAAGAGAAAGAGATAAAGGAAAGAGAAGAGCACACAGTAATTTATATTGGTTCGGGTATAGCCAACCCTACATCCAGTTCTCAGTCAACTCTTAACATAAGAGTGACTCTCAATTCACTATCTTTCAAATTCAGTTTACAAATTACAATCAACTCAGCAGAAGAACCAGTAAAAAGTAAACTAATTAAAAAGACAATCACTTCCTTAGAAACCCACTAAGGATGAACACCTCCCTAGAATCCCACTAGGGATGAACACCTCCTCTGAACAAATCAAAAGATGAAAAAACATCTTCTTAGAATCCTACTAAGGATGAACACCTCCCTAGAATCACACTAGGGATGAAAACCTCCTTTGAACAAATCAAAGAATGAAAACACCTCCTTTGCCACCAATACAAAAAGGATGAATGTAATAAAAATAATAACAGACACACTTGGGTAATGGAGACAACAAATTGTAGAAGTCTGTAGAATGTCAATCTTCAAGAACAAGTGTGATTAACAATGAAAGCACATAAGGCAGTAGAGAAGAAGATTTTCTCAGAAGGTGTAAAATATCTTTGTTGCCTTGTTCATAATTCTTTCCTCAAGACTGATTGAATGTAAATTGTATTTTCGAATTCTGTAATTGTGTCTTTTTGATTTTTCATCAAAACTTAATTAAATAGAAAAATAGCATCAGAAAATGGCCGTTGGACATTAATAACATCATAGAGAAAATCAGGATGTATTAAAAAATATTTATTCTTTAAAACAGATATATTTTTCAAATTTGAATTGCCATAATTGATTATATTACCAGTATAATCAATTATGACAGAGAAAATCATTTTTCCATTTCTGATGCATCATAATTGATTATGACAGAGAAAAATATCATGTTATGAATTTTATCACACTTGTGCTTTGGAGGCTTATGCATAATATTACTGCATCACTTGTATCTCCATATGTAGTATTCTAAGACTCTATCTAATATTCAGG